TTTTTTTTTTTGGTGAGGCAATTGAGGTTAAGTGACTTGCCCAGAGCCACACAGCTAGTGAGTGTTTTGTGTCTGAGGCCGGATTTGAACTCAGGTCCTCCTGACTCCAGGGCCGGTGCTCTATCCACTGCGCCGCCTCGCTGCCCTAATGGTTCCCTCTTTTCCCTTGAAAAGGACTCAGCATCTTCTCATCCACCAGGATATTTTCCACATTGTTCCAGAGTGTTTTTCATAGTCATCTTGCATACCTATGTGGCTTACTAATTCAACCCTTTGAATAAGAAAAAAGATGCTTTTACTATAGTCCACTGTGACAATGAACTTGAATGCTATCCGAGCCCACATTCTAAAGAGAGGGAGATTTTCCCAAGTTGCATTCATTTTGTTCTCTGTTAATTTCTTATGTAATTACTCTTACTTGTACACAGTGACCTTCTGACGAAGAATACAACGCTGACGGTCCCGATCCTGGATGTGCTTTCTAGCCTCCGCCTTGATCCAAAGCTTCTGTCTAAGGTAGGGAAAAAGGATTGAAAGCCAGCTGCCTGCTGACTTTTCGAGGAACAAATGCTTTTTAAGATAGTTACTGTAGTGAAAATTGCATTTTGAAAGTACATTACCTTGCTACTCTTTTTTTAGGATAGGTGAGGCAAATAGAAACTTGATTGTTTTAGAGATGGGCTATAAATTAAGCTGCAGCAGACTAATGATCCGTTTTGTCAGATACTCAGATTAGAGCAAAGAGAGATGGGTTTTGTTGTTGTTGTAGTAAATTCTAAATGCCTGAACTTTATGTAATACTATTCATAGAAAGAATGGATTCCCGTGCATTCCCTTCTCCCCCTTTTTTCTGACTGTGGAAAATTCAGGTTCCAGAATCTGAGAAGATAATACTAGCATTATATGTATTATGTGTCTTAGTAATTACCTTTATAGCATTCAGTTTCTTTGAGATTTCAGCTAAGAGTCAGGTGTTTTCCTCCCCATTTTATATATAGGGAAAGCAAGGCACTGAGAAATTTTTTCTATTTTTTTCACAGGTTGATAGGTCTGAGTATTGAATTTGAGAGACTAAGGTAGTCTTGCTTTCTGTTTTAGGTGCGCCACTTAGTGATGACTAAACTGTCAGCTGTGACACTGGACAATTTACCTGTGATAATCAAGTTCATTCTTCATGCGGTCACAGTCACAGATGCATTAGAGGTACATTGGTATTTACTCACCAACTACCTAGAATGGTGCTAAACCCTGCAACATATATAAATTTGGGTTCAGCCTTGAGGGAGTTTCTATTCTGAAATGGAAGAGAAACTTAAAAACATAACGTCATCTTTACTCATACTCAAAGAACCAGAAAAAAACAAACAAAAAACAGTTCTTTCCATAAATTTGTCATCCCCCATGTCCTTTCCCCCCCATCTGCCCCCACCATCTCCAGACTGATTAGTGAGTTAAGATAGCACTGGGGAGTATAGAATAGCACTACTGGTCATATTAATTCTCATGATATTGTATTTGCTCTCTTATAGAATGTCAAACACTTAGCATTTTGAACGTTATTGCACCTCATTATTATCAATCTTTTATATTTAAAAAAGTTGGTATCATGTATTTAACAGTTCCAATTCCCCAAACTTAAAAGAAGATCAATATCATTTTAGTGGTTTAAGCTTATCCATTGTAAATGATTAGAACACACCAGGAATCCTTTGCTTTCTGCAGGTGATTTCTGAGCTTCGGAAAAAGTTGAATCTAGAATACTGTATTTTGCCACCTCAGCTGCAAACTTCCCAAAGCAAGTTGAAAAATAAAGGTCATGTGAGGTATAGTAGTCCTTGACACCTCTTTCTCCTGGTCTCTTTGGTGATCTACCCAAGCAGCAAAGCTTCTCTTTTGGTCATCAGAGAAGTCACTGTCCTGAGTGATATTTGAAAAGCAGAGCACTTAGCTGGGCAGTCTCCTGAAAGCAGCCTAGCTGCAGCTTGGTAGAGAGTGATGCTTCTGGTTCAGGGATATGAATGGACATGTTTCTTTCTCTGCTTATAGTTCAGGAAATTATGAAAAGAGCAATCAGGACTGTGTTTCTCTCCTCTTTGACGTGATCAAGTCAGCTGTTCGATATGAGAAAGCCATTTCAGAAGCATGGATTAAGGTAATTGCCTCCTCATCCAATGAGACCTTTATCATTGATTAGCTCAGTTGGTAGGCCACGTAACTACAGAGACCACTAGAGTCTTGGCTTGGATCCCCTTAGAGGCAAGTGAGCCTTTTGGGTTCTGCTGCCACATTCCCTGCTCACCTTAGCCAGCTATTCTGCAGTTAAGTTGTGCCGGTTGCAAGGATGCATGGGAAAGATCCAGACAAACTGATCCCTCTGTTTATATGAAGACTAGTGGTATTATTAATTTAGAAGGAAATGTACCAGAGAAATTGACTTCATATTAATCATCACACTCAAGTGTCTTTCCACCTTCCAAAGATTTCTATAGGCCACACGTAGACTGGAAGTTGATAATAAGATGAAGAAAGTATAATCAGAAAATGGCTCTGATTTTATAAATATTGTGAAAGAAGTGGTGAGATTTGGTAGTGGCTTTCTATAGTCCTAAGAAAGAAGTATTATAAAAAGAAATACAACTTAAAGATTTAATGACTGGGAGAAGGGTTAACTTCCTTTGGCTAGAAAAGTGAGTAGAAGGAGAAGTTCAGGAAGAAAGGCTATTTTCTGTGTGTTGAGTTTCATTTTATCATTAGTAGATACTTATTTCAAACCTGCTGGGTACTGGGTGCTGTGTTAGGCTCTAGGCGTACGAGAAAGGGTAAAACTGGGTGGTGCAGTGGATAGAGTTCTGTCTTGGAGTCAGGAGGGTCTGAATTCAACTCTGACCTCAGACACTTGACACTTACTAGCTGTGTGACCCTGGACAAGTCACTTAACCCTGATTGCCTCACCAAAAAGCAAAAAAAAAAAAGAAGAAGAAGAAGAAGAAAGGGTAAAATCTTGTATCTACCCTAAGGGGACTTAAAATAGCTCACTATGGTGATGACTCACATTGATAGAGTTCCTTAGAATCTGCAAAGTACTTCGTTCACTATAATACTGTGAGGTAAATTGTGTATTATTATTATCATCATTATACACATGTGGCAACAGGCTTAGTGACTTACCTAGAGTCTTTCCACTAGGAAGGGTTGGAGCCTTGATTTGAACTTGGTGCACCTAATTGTGACCCAGCACCCTTTATCCCTTTCTAATCTAGGTGGGGAGAGAGGACCTATATATAGGGAAGTAAATAACAATACAAAGCGCCGTCTAGATAAGTCAGCTCTGTTTATGAGGGAATGCTGAAATAAAATAAGGTGCTACATTCTACTTCTTAATGCTCTTTTGTTTCTGTTCTCTCTCTAGGCAATTGAAAACATTGATTCTGTGTCTGACTACAAGGTGACCTTTATGTATCATAATTCCCTAATCATATGCATTTTCGGTTTGAAATTTGGAATTTGAGCCTTTCTTAGAAACATAGTCATTCTTTGGGGTTTGTGTTCACTCTGTAGTGACTCTAGATGCCTTTATTGGTGATGTCAGGTCATCTGGGGTGAACTTCTCAGATGGTGTGCCCCCATTCTTTTGTTCATTGTAATTATAATGGACTTTGACCAATCAGAGAGGAAACGTTGTAAATTCTAAATGAATCTTCCTATTGCACTCTAAGATCAGGTCTTCACTGGTAAGAAAATGGAGAAATTGCCAATTTAACTGCTATCTCTCTAAGCTTCATTCTCACACATTGCCCCCTGTGTTCTCCATTCTTTATTTCACTAGTAACAGACATCTGATAAGGCAGCACTAACATTTCCATCCACTGCCAGAAAGCCAACTGGACTAAACCCACTCCTGCTCTGGTTCTGGAAATTTTGGCTCCTTCCAGAGAACCAGAACTCCATTCTGCCTCTTTTGCTATTTGTAGGACCATTTTGTCTCCTCTGCTGGCCCCTCGAGGCATCCCCCGAGGGGCTCTTTGGGCTTAGCTGTTTTGTTGGCCCTTTGCAGTTGGTTCATCTCACTGTCATTTTCCTTGTGGAAGGTTCTTGACCTGCTGATGCTTCTGATCATCTATAGTGTAAACTCTCAGAGCAAGAAGTGCATCGAGAAGGTGCTGAGAAACAAGGTCCAGTCGGGCTGCATCCCTGAGCAGCTGCTTCAGAGCACGTTCTGCACGTACACATCAGTAAGTTTCAAACACTTTGGAGGTCATTCTAGTTCAAACTCCTGGCCATAATATCGACAGGTGCAAGAGCATCTAGCCTCAGCTCAGACACTTAAGAGTAAAATCTAATGCGTGGTCCTAGATCTCTTCTTTTCCCAGCCAAACTCCTAGAAAAACTTGTCTTCACTCATTACTTCTGTTTCCTCTCATCCCCCTCACATTTCAGTCACTTACAGTCTGCCTTCTGATCCCACCATTTAACTGAAATTGTCCTCTCCTATCTAAGGACCTTTGTCAGCTTCATCTGCCCTTTTTCAGCCTTTGTTCTGTTTGACGTCTTCTCAGTTTTTGTCCTGTGGGCCACCCCTGTTTTTCCTGGAAACTCTTGCCTTCTTTGGCTTATGTGACACCGTTCTCCTTGGTTCTCTTTCTACTTGTTGGACTGTTTTGTCTCTTGCTGGGTCATTATTCTTTTTTTGTACACTAAAAGTGGAGGTGTCCCTCAAGGCTTTGTCCTGAGTTCTCTTCCATTCTACTCTGCATTCCTGTGGTAATCTCATCAACTCCTTGGGTTCATTACCTCTATATATAGACTCCTAATCTACATATCCAGTCTCAATCTATCAATATTAGTCATCATACAACATGACTGTTACTGTGTACAATGTTCTCCTGATCCTGCTTACTTCACTTAGCATCAGACCATACAAGTCTTTCCAGGTTTTTCTGAAGTCTGCCTACTCATCGGTTTTTTTGTTTGTTTGTTTGTTTGTTTGTTTTTTTGGGTTTTTTGGTTGGGCAATGAGGGTTAAGTGACTTGCCCAGGGTCACACAGCTAGTAAGTGTTATGTGTCTGAGACCAGATTTGAACTCAGGTCCTCCTGAATTCAGGGCAGTTGCTCTATCCATTGTACCACCTAGCTGCCCCTTGCTCATCGTTTTTTATAGCACAATAGTATTCTATTACATTCATATACCACAACTTGTTCATCCATTCCCCAATTGATGGGCATCCCCTCAACTTCCAATTCTTGGCCACCACAAAAAGAGCTGCTATAAATATTTTTGTACATGTGGGTCCTTTTCCCATTTGTATGATCTCTTTGGGATACAAACCTAGAAGTGGTATTGCTGGGTCAAAGGGTGTGCACAGTTTTATAGCCCTTTGGGCAGAGTTCCAAATTGCTCTCCAGAATGGTTGGATCATAAACTCGTCTATATCTGTTGATGGTGCTATTGCCTTTCCTGTGTGCCAGGTTCATGATCCTGGAATCATCATTGACTCTCCCTGCTTTCTCTCTCATTTACCCCACCAACCACCCCCACTCCCCCATATCCAGTCAGACACCAAGTCTGGTTAAATCTCTCCTACCACTACATTTCTTTCATCTTTCCCTACCTCTCCATTCAGCTTCTGTCCTAGTTCAGGATCCTATCATTTCTCATCTGGATTATTGTAAGAGCCTCTTAATTGATCTCTCTGCCTCTAATCTCCTTTTCCCAATCTTCTCCAAACAGCTACCAAATCAGTAGTATTCCTAAAACACTGATCTGATCATGCCACATCCCTATTCAGAAGCATAGAATGGTTCCCTGTTACCTCTAGGATAAAATACAAAAGCCACAGCCTGGCATTTTAAAAAATCTTACTTCTGTGGATAGCTTTTGTTTTTATGTTACCTTCATTTCTGAATCTACTACTCCCTCTGCCCCTATCCAGTGAGCCTTCTCTCTCACAAAAAAAAGAAAAGAAGGAAAAGAGCAGATCAGCCAAACTAAGCAACCTCCACCTCCCCTTTCTGCACTTTGTTTTCTGCCCAACCTGTCTTTCTTGCAGTTCTTCCATCTCCATGTCTTTGTGCTGGCCATCCCCTGTGTTTGGAAGGCTCTGCGTCCTCCACTCTCTTGTCTAGAATCCCTTTCTTCAGGACTCAGGTCCAGCACTACTTTCTGCATGAAGCCTTTCTTGGTATCCCACACTTGCTAGTGCTTACCCTTCCTAATTCACCTTGTATTTATTTGGTATATACTTTTGTATGGACATGTCTGCTCCAGTATAATGTAAGCTCCTTGCAGTGACTGTTTTATTTCTATCTTTATATCCCTCACACCTAATACAGTACCTGGAACGTAGTAGGTGCTTAATAAATGCTTATTGATTGGTACTTCTCTGAATTCATCATTTTGATAATTACATATGGCCTTGTAGTATTCCATTGTATTTCTGTACCACAAAATTCAGTTCCTATTTCTTTGTTCCCACAAAAAATAATGCTGTGAATATTTTGGTGTGTATAACTTTCTTTCTTTGGCCTCTTTGGGATATATGCCTAGCAGTGGCATTTCTGGATCAAAAAGTATGGACATTTTAATTATTTTTAAAGCATTATTCCAAATTGTTTTTCAGAATATTTGGACTTATTTATAGTTTAAATAGTGTGCAGGTGTGCCTATTTTTTCACCATCTCTCCAGCATTAAATATTTACTGAATTTTCTAAGTATCAATGAGTGTTTTGCTAGCCCTAAGAATGAAATTAACAATACAACTTCCTAGATTTTTTGACTAGGCTATTGATTTGAGCCTTCTAGGCTTTTTTGGCTGACTCCCAGGAAGCTACAGGAATGTTTTGGTTCAACTTTATGATTTTCACTTATCTATGCTTGCATTTGTTTTCCTTCCCCTTGCTTGTCACTATATTGTTCTGTCGCAGATTATAAGATACTCTTAGAGAGCTGGGGAACTTTCTGTTAAATTTTTTTTGTATGTTGCTCAAAGTAGTTAGTTTGCCATATATCATACTTTTGGGTATTTAATAAATGTTCTTGATAAAAATGATTAAGCTTGACTCAGAAATTGTTTACTTATATAGTGTAGCAGTAAATCACATTTACATAGTGCTTCAAAGTTTCTTTATGACAATCCTGTGAGGTAAGTATCCACCAATGACCATCCAACTCCCTACTCTTGGAAGAAAGTCAATAGGCCTCTCCTGGTCCTTTTCAGGCTAAAGCAGCTTTATGAAGTTTGTCATTTGAGGCCACTTGGTTTCACTTTAAATCTTCAAGCAGAACTTAGCCTTCTAATGGTGGGGACCCTTCTGATAAGAACAGGCAGTGTCTGGGGTCCAGACACTGTACTCCCCCAGAGGTGGGGAGAGAAGCCCAGAAATGGTAAATTAAGCATCTGATGTAATGGAAATTGTACTAGCTTTGAGTCAGAGTTGAGTCCCAACTCTCCCACTTCTAGCTCCCTACTCTTGGACAGGTCATTTGGTCCCTTTCAGTTTCATTTTCTTCATCTATGAAAAGAGAATAATGTTGCTAATACTTAATTTACCTCACAGGGTTATTGTAGCCATCAGAGTGGATAGTTTATATTAAACTTTGTTTATATTATTTATATTAAACTTTGTAAATATTGAAGCACTATGTTAACAGTTTTTCAGGTCCAAAAAGTTGAATGTCTTTTCCCTCTCAGATTGACTGTGTTTCTTTCAGGTTCTCAGAGATGTCTTTCCATCCATTTTGTCACTGGCTCAGAGTTTGCTGCACTCCACAGACCAGAGTGTGATCTCTTTTGGCAGCCTTCTTTACAAATATGCCTTTTTGTCATTTGACACATATTATCAACAGGTATTCTGGAACACAGCTAGGGGAAATGGGGCAGTGATAGAGCTCTGAAGGGATAACTTGTTTCTTTCTTTTTTGGGGGGGGCTATTTGGAAAAATTATGATCCAAACTTAGCATTAGGGTTGATTAGTTTTGTCACAGCATTTCTCAGCTTGGCTACAATGACAACCATTAGCTAATTTCTGAAATGAAGTATGGTGGTTGTTTTTTCAATTGGACTCCATAGAGCAGGGATCATTAAATAACTTTAGAAATAGAGTGTGTTAAGGAGAGAGGCACAGTTTCATAATTTAATCATAAGTAATCTAGTTGTCTGTTTATTGATTTTGGAGATGTTTTCTTGAAAAGGGTGTGCCAGCAAATTAAGAATGAGGTCCCAGACCAGAGTTCTTCACTTCTTTGTGGTATGGGCCTCTGGACCCCTTCTCAGAATAATATTCTTAAATGCATAAAATTACAAAGAAAACCAATTATATTAAAATATGGTTATCAAATTTTTTTAAAGTTCATAGATCTCAGGATAAGAAACTCTTTCCAGGACTCCAGTCCATGAACATGAGCCATGAAGTAAAATTGGTAGCAGTTGTAATTCCTTAGGGGGAGATTATGAAAATGGTACTGGGCAAACTGTGATGTGCAGGGTGGAAAGGGCATTGGCCCAGGAGTCAGGACAGTCCCAGTGCCCATGAGCTCTGTAAACTCATTTCTTCTGTGACGGAGGCAAGGCACTCCATCTCTCTGGGCCTCAGTTTTCTCATCTGTAAAATGAGGGATATAGGTTCATGATATCATGGATTTAGAGCTGACAGCATCCTCAGAAACTCTCAGGTCTAATCTCCTCACTCTACAGATGAGAAAACTGAGCATAGGAGAGCTTAAGTGACTTGCTAGTAAGTGTTTGAGACAGGATTCCAATTCAGGTTTTCTTACTCCAAGTCAAGCACTCTATCCTTTGCACCACCTAGCTACCACTTATTAAATTTGCCCCAGAGCACTTAAGTGATTTTCCCAGGGTTAACACAACGAGGAAGTTTCTGAAGGCAGCATCTGAGCTCAGGTCTTCCTAACTCGAAGCCCAATACCTTATCCACTGTACCACCTAGCTAGGTATTGGGCTTGAAGACCGATAAGGACTCCTCCAACTTTAGTATTTAATCATTCTAAATACAGAGGTGGGAGGGAAGTAAAAGATACAAAAAAAACACCAAGAGTCTGCTACAGGAGTGATTTAGACCACTTAGATCTTGAAAGATCTTCAGAACTGAGGAAGGCTGTCTCTACAGCATAGTCTTCACTTGCATTTGCTGGAATATGATTCTAACTTGTGCTGTGTAGGAAATTACTACAAATGACAGCCCAATAAAAGCCATACTTTAGCTGATTGCCTGAATTTCTGTGTCATCTCCCCTTCGTGAGCTTTTAAGAGTGCTGTACAATCTTGCTTGCCGTGAATTCGACATTCATTGTCTCCTAACCATACTTGGATTGGTAAAGGGAAACGGCATGGATTCCATGGAGACAGAAGTGAAGCTACATGCAGAAATCAGAACAGCTAACTTAATAAGGGGCAGCTAGGTGGTGCAGTGGATAGAGCACTGGCCCTAGATTCAGGAGGACCTGAGTTCAAATCCGGCCTCAGACACATAACACTCACCAGCTATGTGACCCTAGGCAAGTCTCTTAATCCCCACTGCCCAACAAAAACAAAAGAAAAAATAATGTGTGTGTGAAGAGACAAAGATATAAACATAAACACTCATGCACATCTAGACACATGAAAAAATTTGGAACAGACTTGTGCTTGTCATTAGTATACGACTGGTGTACCTGGTGACGGGCTTCTACTACCGCAGTGTTGGTACCTTCTCTGTGATGTCACATAGAAATTTAGAGAATTGCCAGAGTAGTGAGAGGTTAAATGAGTTGTCCAGGATCACACAGAGATAGCCTGTGTTAGAGCTGGCACCAGAACCCCTGTCATCCTGCCTCCAAGGCCAGTTCACTGTCCACCAGACCACAAAGCTTCTCACCAGAAATGTAGAACATGGGATTTTAGCACCGGGAAGGATAAGATCACTGAGCTGGGCCTCCTCGTTTTACAGAGGAAAAAACTGAAGTGGAGAGAAGGAAGCGATGTGCCCACGGTCTCATGTCTAGTTAAAAATGAAGGGAATGAGTGGAGGATGTGGTGGGTGCGAGCACACTTACGTGCCTATAATTCTAAAGGTAATGTGGCTAGCACTGAGACATGCTGGGCACAGAGTCTGCTGGGCGGTAGGAAAATATCTAAGTTGGAGAAGAGAGGGGCACAAGACCATTGTACTGTATTTTCTTGTTTCACCTTAATTGCTTTTCTCCTGGCAGGAAGTAATTGGGGCGTTAGTGACCCACGTCTGCAGCGGGAATGACGCTGAAGTCGATATTGCTCTAGAGGTGCTCTCGGAGCTGGTGGTTCTCAATCTGTCTGCCGTGAGACTGTATGCCGTCTTTGTGAAGGTGCTTTTCTCTCCTCTGAGTCCTGGAATATTCCTCAGTCCTGGACATCTTTGAGAGGATGTATCTGTTAGTTTAAGTGCTTTTTTTAGTGCCTCCTCCTGTGTGCAGACCATAGTCATACAGCTCTTAAATAGCAGGGCTAAGTGTTTATGATTAGGGGAGGCAGTGCCTTGTGTGTAAAGAGCTCTGGATTTGGAGTCTCAAGACCTGAGTTTGAGTGGCAGCTGCTGCTTACTGCCTGTGTGACCTTGGATAGGTCCTAGAGTTCCCTTCCACCTCTAACACAGGCATGAAGCAACAGGAGAATAAACCTTTTCAGAACAGCAGTGGACTGAACTGTGAGCCAAGCTGGGGGGGGAGCAAGGGTTAGAGGCTGTGCTTGATTTACTATGAGAGTCAACAGTTTTTCCTCTTGGTTTTATTGAAGAGATAAATGAATAGCCTGAGGTCTTCAGTTAAATCCTTACTCACAAGTCATCATCTGAGATGAAATCTGTAACATCAGCTGTTAAAACTAGAACTTCTTGCACTGTCTTACAAACCTGTGCATTATTGGGTGTCTGTACATGCATGGACATGTGTACACACACGTGGATACACATATGTGTGCATATTTAACCATTGGCTAATAGATTTTGAGATCATGTAGTCCAATTCCTTCCTTTCACAGATGAGCAAACTGAGACCCAGAGAGTGGGAGTGATTTACCCAAGTACAAACAGGTAGTAACAGAACTAGAATAAGAATGTAGGTCTGACTCCAAATCCAGGAATTTTCTACTATACCTTTCTAGGCAGCTAATCCACCTTGGTCTCTGGAACGTGTTAATTTCTATACCTCATGTCTGATTACTATGTTTTTTCTTCCTCACAGGGCATTCTGGATTATCTAGATAATTTGACCCCTTCTCAAATACGAAAACTGTTCTATGTTCTTAGTACTCTATCATTTAGCAAGGGTCATGAAGACAGCAGCCACATTCAGGTAAGAGACGCCATGGAGGGAGAAAACTGTCATCCTATCTCTTTCCTCCATTTTTCACCCAAATACTTAGAAAAAGCTGTCTATACATACTGTACCTACTTCCTCCCTCTCAAGCACTCCTCAGCCCTTTGCAATCTAACTTCCAGCCTCATTTCGACTGGAAATACTCTCTCCAAAGTTAGCAACTATCTCTTAATTACCAAATCTGATGTACTTTTCTCAATCTATCTGCTGCATTAGACACCATTGTCCACTCTGCTTTCTGGGTTTTCGTGACACTACTCTCTCCTGGTTCTCATCTTACCTTTCTTACCATTCCTCAATCTCATTTGCTGGTTCATTATCCGTATCACTTTTCCGAATGAGAGGGTCCCCCAAGGTTCTAAGCTGAGCCCTCTTCTCTTCTGCTTCTGTGTTCATTTTCTCTCTCTCTTACCTCATTGACTCCTGTGGGTTTAACTATTGTCTTTGTGCAGATGGCTCACAGATGGGACTTTGAGCTCAAAATAGGCCAATAGGCAGTTGCTTGACTTGATCTCAGGAGAGAGGTGAGGGCTGGATATGTAGATCCAAGATCATCAGCTTAAAGATCATTAACCCATGTGAACTGATGAGGGTTATTGATCCCTGGACAAGAAAGACTCTTAAATTTAATGTACCAACAGTTAAATCAGTGCTTATAGACAAACATGTTTGATTTTTTAACACCACTGCCCCTTGTCTGCCACTTTGCCACTGCTGCTGCAGAAACCACGTAGGATTGGGGGCCATTTCGTATTTTTCTTTTTCATGGATTACGATGGCCAAAGAATTAATCACCAAATACCTGGCTTAGTGGGGATGAGTTTCTTATACTTAGATAGGCTAATCATCAGAAAGTAGACAGTCTGTCACCATGACTTTATGTAAAGCCTTTCCAGTATGGTAGATCCTGCCAGAAGTTGTGTTTCCCTGGCATAACCATTGATAACTCAGGGTCACATTTTTGCCATGTCTGGCACTGAAGCAAGACTACAGAATTGTCTGGTGGTCTGTCATCCAAGAGCTAGCCAGAGCTATCCCTATTTAGCTAATGAGATTGAATTAATTTTCCTAAAATACAGCTTGACCACGTTACCCCTTACCCCTTACTTAAATACTTCTCCAGGACTCCTCATTACTTATCAAATTAAGTCCAAACTCTTCCCCTGGCATTTAGACACTTTTATGTTTTGGTCCCCACTTTGTTTCCAATCTTACTTGTCTTCCACTGTTTCAGTTTATACGCTGTATGCTCCAGATAATGTGTACGACTCAGATCCTTGAAATTGTTCTTCTGTATCTCACACCATTTTTCATGGTATTCTCCACAAAGGGTGCCCTTCCTCCAACCTCCATCCACTGAATTCTTGCCTGTTCTTCACAGCTAAGCTCAAATGCAAATCTCTGCCTTGAAGTTTTTCTTGATCCTCTTCCTCCTAGCAGACATAACCTTTTCTTTCAACTCCCATAGGCCTTTGTACCTCTCTAATTGTAATTTGAATACTTCTAGTTCTGCCTTTTTAAATTATTTGTGTATATTTTCTCTTCCTTTCTATTTGTAAGGAAAGTTTTCTGTAAGCTCTGAGGACAGAGACTATATCCTATATTCTGTGAGGATACAAGGGTATCACAGGATTATATTTGTTACCTAATGTGTATTTGATAAATATTTATTGAATTAATAAATATTGAAGTCGATGAGCAGGTTGTATTGAAATCCAAAATTCTTGGGATGAGTTCATGCATTTATATGGAAGTTACTGTGGAATTTAACTTTGAATAACAAACAGCTTCATTGTATTTCTACTAAAGTGCTTTTCAGTACTGCTGTTTGTAGAATAGTGAATAGTATTTCCTCGTAAAATTTTACACCTTATATTTTCTGAAGTATTTTTCTGAAAGTATGTCTCTTAAGGAAGGACAACCTATGTAATGCCCAGTCAGAAGGTACCATTCCTGTCTTTTCCCCTGGCATGGGGCTTTCTCACTTAGGTTTTTTGGGTGGTTGTTGTTTTTTAATTTAAATTTTTTAATTTTATTAATACTTTTTGTTTTTACATAGCAGACAGATCCCAACAAACAAGCAGACAAATCTTCTTGTATGTTTTTTTAGAGCAGTGATTTTGAAGCCTTTAGGAATGAGGAACCTTTCTACATTGCTCATCCCATAAGAACTAGATGAGAGTTGTAATGTTGAGAGAGAAGCTGGAAGTGATGCAGTAAGCAAAAGTCAAGTATGGTTCCCATGGCCACGCTTTCTTTCCTGGAACTCCTCAAAATGCCTTGTGGAGCCTGGGGAATTTCCACATATGGAAACCATGAGTTTGGGTCAAAAAAAAGTACAAAGATAAATGGCATAAAGTGGGAATTCCAACATTCTTTCCTTAGGTCTCATCCTGAATACCAAAGATTCCATTGTGTCATATGAGCCTTTGTGTTAATTCTAGCAACATAGATTCCAGGAACATGAAATAGACTGATAGAGAATTTTCTTCAGAAAAATCCCATGTTTGGGTTTATATACGCATCCCTGATGCCTCTACATATGAATGAAGAAATAACTTTAGTTTTACATGTTCACTGGTAGACTGAATAGCTTTTTAAGAATGACTAACAACTTCTTTCCTTATTTTTCTGTATCCTTTGCAGGATGATATGTACCTGGTGATTCGAAAGCAGCTTTCCAGTACTGTATTTAAATACAAACTAATTGGGATTATTGGTGCCATCACCATGGTGGGTAGTATGACAGCAAACAGGTGAGAGCAGGCTGAGTTTGTGCCTCCCAAAGTTGTAGATTAGGAATTGACCTTACAGTCATAGATTATAATCATAGGATTATAGAATTGCTGAGGGCCTGGAGATCATCGGGTCCAGCCTTCTGTTTTCAGGCAGGCTGGGTGTTATCATGCCCACTTTGCTACAGCCTGCATCCAGGGAGGGTGTGATTTCCTTGTCCAGAGTTCCAGAGCTAGTGAGCGGCATACGGAGAACCATAACCCACATTAAAGAGAGCCGAGCCCTAGACTGAGAGTCAGGAGAATCTTGGTTCTAGGCTTGACTCTGACACCAGTTAGCTGTATGACTTTGGGAAGATCACATAACTCTCTTTCTTGATCTATTAAAGGAACAGTTTGGACTAGATGAACAGTAAGATCCCTTTCAATTTTAACATCCCGGGCAGCTAGGTGGCACAGTGGATAGAGCTGTGGCTTGGAGTCAGGAAGACTTGAGTTCAAATCCAGTCTCACACATGTGACACTTACTAGCTGTGTGACCCTGGGCAAGTCACTTAACCCCAAATGCCTCACCAAAAAGCAAAAAAAAAAAAATTAATATCCCATGTTCTCTATTTCCCACCACACAGTCCTCTAAGATACTACAAACAACAATAATAATGCTGACCTCCCCTCACTGGCCCACCCAAAGTCTAACTCTAGTTTTCATTTTTGCACAAACCTGTCAATGACAGATTTCACTCCTTTCACAAGTAAAAGAGAAAGAGTTCAGTTTGTTTAACTTGTTAAAAAAATAAGTTTGTTACTAGTTATAACTCTTATAAACATGTTCATGGTACAATAAAAATAACACTAATTGATTGCTCTAGAGAAAAATTACTCTTGGGGAGGCCTTAAGCTATGTACAAAGAGAAGGAAATCAGTGACTGCTTGTTCTCCTCTTCCTTTATTAAATGAATTTATAAAACCAGATGGTGAACTTCAAAATGCAACATGACTCATGGATTGGAGATTCAGACAAGAGCTCCGTGTAGGACAGGAATTGTATAGTTATTCTAGAGATTGGCTGGGGCTGAGGTTGCCAAAATATTTTCCCAGCTGCTGTTCTTTTCCCAGCATCTCACCTCCTGTTTTCTCAATACTGACCAGTATAATAAGAACCGACATTTTTGTAAGGCTGTTTTCATCTTGCCTGTGACATTGTGGCTGTTACTCCACTGACGCTCTATTTGCAAAATTGGGCTTCCTGGTTCTGATCTATCCCAGATGACAGCAAACGGATTAGGGGCCTAGCAAGGTGATGAGCTTGGGGCGTGGTAACTTCTTGGACTTGCTTTGTCAGGGTATTTCTAAGAGCTCAGGAGACACTTTTGGAGTCCCTCCGAGGGTCTTCAGGATGTAGTGGAAAGAACATTGAACTTGGAGTTAGGAGACCTGGATTTAAGTCTTGGTGCAGCCATTTATTAACCCCGTGACTGTGGAGAAGTCATTTAATCTCTCCGCCTCAGATTCTCATATGTAAGAGGGGATGTTCATAATATCTATATACAACATAGGCTTTCTGCGAGGAAAGTATTTTGTAAACCTTAAAGAGCCACAGAGTAATAGTTCTTTCATTTGCTCTTTATAATATTCCTTGGTTAGAAGTTATTTACATTGGTGGACTTCTCTTGATAAGGATTTTCAGTGTTACAGTCCATATTGAGTGTAGCCCCCATGAGCCCTCTCCCATGTCTTTATCCCTCTTGGAGAAGATGGGCCCCATTGACTCATTTGTGGCAAAATGTTCTGCACCACATTTGTACAACTGAGTTCATTGTCTTCCTGCCAAAATCTTTACTGCTTTTAACTTCCCTATTTCCATCAGCACTGTGGCTCATACCCTGGCGTCACTTGGGGGCATTTCCTTACCCTCACATCCAACAAGCATTCAAGTTCTGTTGGTTCTGTTTACACAACATCAGCTTCTTTCCATTCTTGCTGCAACTGCCCTAGTGCAGGCCCTAGTTAGATCTCAGCTATTAGAATTACCTCTTAATCAATTTCTCTGTTTATTTCCCATCTCTTCACCCTCCACACCATCCTTTGCACTTTTACCAAAGTAGTCATCCTGTGGCTTGGATATGACCAATTGACTCCCCTGGCTTTAAAACACTCTGTGGCTTTTCCTATTTCCTTCCAAGTAAAATATACACACCTTAACGTGGCATTGAAGGTCCTTCAAAATCTGACTCACACCTAATTTTTCAGCCTTATTTCACACAATTTACCATTGTGTATTTTACTTGCGAGCCAAAATGAATTTTGCAGTCATCCAGTCTCAGTCTTTTCTTTTCCTCTCTAACTTCTCTGCATTTGCCCATGCTGTCTCCCACGTCTAAACCAGATCACTCCTACATTACTGCCTTTTGAAATCCCTTCTCTTACTTTCAGGCTCAGCTTGGCTTCCTGATTCTTCCATGAATCCTTCCCAGCTAAAAATGACAATTCTTACTATAAACCTCTTGTGCTCCTCTGTTTGGACTTTCCTGTGTTTTTGATTCCATTCCAACATGTGTCATCATTATTTTTCTAATGTCTGATCGTCTTACTGGACCATAAGCTCTTAGAGGTTAGAAATTCCATCTTTTTTCTTTTTTTTTAAATCCTCATATCCACAGTAACTACCAACAGTCACAGAATATCTTCAGGATGTATACAACTTTATTGGTATTGGTGTTTCCTCCATCAAGGCAGATGGCAACTCCTTAGTAGTTTCTGTGGATGAAAAAAGGTCATTTTGCTTATGGTTTGTCTGTCTAAGCTTAATTAGTCTGATTGATCCTCAGACAACAGAAAACATCCATTGCTAAACCCCACACTCAACGTTTTCAAGGCATGTCAGAGTAGAACCTTAGTAGAGACTTGAATATAGAAGGTACCTAATGAATGTTTGTTTAACTGAATGGAAAAACAAGAACTGAGGTTATTTACTGTTTTCCAAAGTCACGCTTCTGGCCCGACCCCAGAGGGAGCAGAACTGAGCAGTGAGCGCTGCAAACAGGTGAGTGGCCTCTTTGCTTGTAACGAGATAGAAGTAGACACTTTGTGGTTTCCTCACAGCTGAGTCAGGGACGGAGGGAAGGGTGGATTCCCCTCCCCCAAGTTTCCCAAGTGCGTGAATTTACTTTGTTTTGTCCGCTATCACAACACCTTTGGGAAAGTGCGTTATTTTTCTGTGATGGCTGGAGGTGAGGGAGCAAGGAGCTTAGCAAGTGTGGCCAGTACAGGGACAAGGATAGGTCGTCCATATGATGCCAGAGGTGCACAAGCAGGCCCTATTCAGGAGGCAGCAGGGGCTCTGGAGTCAGGAGACCTGGGTTCAAATACAGTCTCCGATACTTAGTACCCATGTGGCCTCGGGAGTCACTTAATCTGTATGAGCCATCTTTGAGATGAAGGGGTTGAACCTTCCAGCTGTAAATCTGTGATTCAGTCACTTACCAGCACTGTAGGATTAGAATGAAACAAGCTCTTGACCAGAGCAAGGTATATTCCTTACGAGAAGGCGTTCAAGGTGTCGAAAAGGAAGTGTGACCGAGGGCCCCCCGCTGTGCCTTACCGGGAGGACTTGGGGCAGGGGCTTGGTCAGGGAGGATAGATGGGGGTGAGGGCAGTGGTGGTTTTGTTATTGCTGTTGATGTTTTTTAACATGTGCTCATAGGTCGGTTTTATTCTTTTCCTACTCCATAGGTGACTTCTTTATTACAACTGGTGCATTCTTGCAGTGAACAGTCTCCTCAAGCCTCTGCACTGTATTATGATGAATTTGCCAACCTGATTGCAAAAGGAAAATTGGCTCCAAAAACCCTGGTATGGCCAAGTGTTCTGAATCACTTCAACCAAGTGATGTGTGAGGCTGGCTCTATAGCTGTGGGTGCTTTAGATGATCCATGCTGACTAGGAGGTTAGGCGGAGGGCAGTAGAGGGAGACAGAAATGGAAAGGAACATGCTGTGAGGTGTGTCTGAGCTCTGTGGGAAGGCCCAGCCCTCAGCTCTGCTGTTTCTCAGTGGTGTCTTGTCCAAACTTGCTGCTTCTTTGTCTTTTGAAGGAGTGGATTGAACAGACCATATGTAATGATTTCCAGGATGCATTTGTGGTGGACCTCTCTGCTCTTCCAAAGGTTAGGTAAGTGCTCTCTGTCCCCTAGTTTAGTTCCATTTTCTTGTGAGATTTTCTCCCCTTCATTAGGCTTTTCTTTCCCTCACATTATTAAATACCACACATCTGGCATTTGGTTGGGAACTGCGGGGTTTTTCCTAATATCTTCTTAAGATCAATAGCATGATTATTTTCCTCCAAATCCCAAGGCGCTTCCATTCTCAGAACTGGCATCTTAGGTAGCAAGAGTCTCCCAAGTGGTGTTTGTTTCCCTCTTGGTCAGACAGCTGTTTCTATGTCATTTCCTTCTCCCAAATCAGATTAGAGTTGGCTCATTAACTTGGCATAATTCCCCACAACCTCAGCTACTACTTGTTCCGGGGAACGTGAGGTGGTTCTTTTCTCTGCAGTGATTATCCCTTCCCAGTGAAAGCCATGTATGGCCTGGATGAAGATGAGAGTCAGGATGGAATTGCTATCAACTTTCTGCCGCTTCTCTTGCTTCAGGATCTTGGGAGCGATATGGGTGTAATGACTTCTCGAGATCAAGACCAAAAGTCAGTGAAGTTTCTCTTTTTCCAAAGCCCCTGTCTGTGTCTTAAATGTCCACTGGCAAGCCCACAATTCTTTGAGGTCTCAGACATTTGAGCAAGAATGGTTCTCCTGGGCTGGTAGCAGTGGAAAGGATGGAAGAAATGGGGACCCGCTTCCTTGTTCCTTGTCCAGGAGACTGATGTCCCTCTCACTTAGCAATAAATACTATGATGTGCGGTTTTCTTTTGCCAGTGCTTACCTGTTCCTTTCACTTTTCCCTTTCAACTTTCCTTTGTCAGCTTCACTACCTGCACCCCTTACCTTCAATGAGACCAGCAAATATTTGCTAAGTACAGCCTCTTTACCTAGTCCTCAGTCCCTAACATTAGTTGGCTTCCTTTGGCAAAATCCTTGGTACCAGTGGTTGGGCTTCCTTAATTATAATTTAGAAATGAAATTATGAAATGAAGCTGAGAAGTCTTTGCTCTTTTTTCTAGGTTAGTGTCTCCAGTGTGTCTGTCCCCCTATTTCCGGTTATTGAGGCTTTGTGTGGAGAAACAACATGGAGATTTGGAGGAGATTGATGGTCTGTTAGGTACACAAGAAACCTTTGGGGCCCTTTGTCTGTAATCTTTGTTTATCTTTTCAGTAGACTGCAGGGGAGGGGACATCTGTGTGCATGGTGACAAGACTACCTTGCTATGGAAAAGAGAGTTATTCTTGAGATGAAAAGGAAGTAATGTCATTATCCATGAAGGAATCCTTTGGCAAGTGTGAGGATAGGTAGCAAGTAGGAAATAGGGTCAGCTCCTGAAGGTAGCAGAATCTGGATGTTTTAGTTTGAATTGAAAGAAAGAAAAGATTTTTTTTTCTTCTCTTTCAGATTGCCCTTTATACCTCCCTGACCTGGATCTTGGAGAGAAGCTAGGATCCTTCTCTATGCAGGAGCGTTCCTTTAGATGCTCACTCTTGTTCCTTGCTATTAACTGGTTCCGGGAGGTATGCACACACCTACTGAGGAGGGTGAAAGAGATCTTGGAAGGATCTGTCCTTGCCTTAACTTGTCTGCTTCCCTAGTAGCCAGTCTGCTGCTTTGCATCCAGAAGGTGTTTAAGAAATATATTTATAGGGACAGCTAGGTGGTGCTCTATTGAGCACCAGCCTTGGAGTCAGGAGGACTTAAGTTCAAATTTGGACTCAGACACATTGCACTCACTAGCTGTGTGATGTTGGGCAAATCACTTAACCCCGATTGCCTCACCAAAAAAAAAAAAGTGTATTTGTACTTGTAGCATCCCGGAGGTAGTCTGTCGTCAACTTTGCTTCTACCTAGCCTCCTTCCATTCCTCACACCCAAGTCTGGGGAAGACTTCCATTTTATGTTTCTTAGATTTTTGACAGTTGTTGTTAATAATGAAATCTCATATTTGTATAGTATTTCTTACATTCCAAGTCTCTTGACAATTCATTTTCTCATTTGCTATCATAATCCTGTGATGTTCAATAGAAGTTTTTTTAGCCCCATTTTACAGGTGAAGGGACCTGAAGTCCAGAGAAACTAATTGACTTTACTTTTTTTTTTAATTGACTTTCCTAAGGCCACATAGATGACCACACCTTGGTTCCTGATGTCTAGCCTATGATCTTTATACTCTATGTCTCGGGATCCCAGCAATCTGCTCTTGGGGTGATCTCCAAGCCTTGGATCCCCAGTTGTGCTGCTGAATAGCATCTTCTCATAAACAAATTCACTTCAACCTTTAGTCTACTCTTACAGTGTGCAAGTCATTGCACCAAGTAATGTAGGAGATAGATGAGTAGCCTTGTCCTCAGGAATTTTCTAGTTGGTGATAGGGTGATAGGGCAGGGATAAAACAAGTACATAAGTTACTGTGTCACGAGAAATGTATGAAGTGCTACATAGGTTCATATGAGAGAAGGGACATAGGATCATAAATTTAGATTTGGAAGGGACCTAAGAAGTCATCTAATCTGACCCCTTTAATCCACAGAAGAAGAAAATGAGGCCCAGGCCTGAGGCAGAATCTGAAGCGAAGTCTCCCAGGCTCCAGGTCTAGCAGAAATCCTGTCTGCATGGCTTTCTCAACCTTGAGAAGCTCAGTGATTGCTTATGAAGGGAAATGGCAGCTAAGAAACTTTCAAAGGACCAGTTAGTGTTTATTCATTAACAGGTGGTTTGGTATAGTGGAAAGAGCCCTGAGCCTGCAGTTGTGAGAGGTCCTTGGTCTTTAATCTCTCCAGTACTTATTAGTGGTCTGGTCCTGGGCCAGTTACTCTTTGCTTCTGAGCTTCAGCTTTCTCCTCTGTGAAGTGAGTATAATAATGACAAGAGCATGTACTTCACAGAGTTGTGAGGCTCAAATGAGATAATTATGTAAATTGCTTTGCAAATGTTAATAACCCACATAATTATTAGTCATTATTATCATGCAGCTCACCGCAAGGGTGTCTTCTGGGTTTTTTCAGGTTGTGAATGCCTTCTGCCAACAAAAGTCAGCTGAGATGAAGGGAAAAGTGCTGATCCGCCTACGGCACATCACAGAGTTACAGATGCTACTAGAGAAGTATTTGGCAGGTGAGAAAATTAGCGAACTTCTTAGCTTGGGCCCCTTTCTGCCCTTTCTTCTGGCAGATAACATTCCCTTATGTCCAAGTAGCACAATTTATTTATCCATTCTCTTAGTCAACAAGCATTTGATTTATTACTATGAGCCACGCACTGTGCTGGGGGCTGGGAATAACACAAAGACAAAAATGAAACAGTCCCTACCCTCAAAGAGCTTCCATTCTAGTGGAGCAGACAACATGCACATGCATAAGCGTAGGCAAACTATATGCAAAATAAATACAAGCTCATGGTGGGAGGGAAGGAGCGAGTAGCAGGGAGAAATTAAGGAAGTGATATTTGAGTTGGGATTCTTCAGGGTGATGATGAGGAAGGGCGTAGGGACAGCCTGTGCCAAGGTGTGGAGACGGGAGGGGAAGTATTACATTACAAGAAAGCCAATTGCACTAGGCCACAGAGTGTAGTAAAGGGAGTAAATTAGAATAAGGCTGGAAAGGTAGGTTGGGTCTAGGTTGTGAAGGGCTTTAAATGCCAAACAGGAGTTTTTATTTGACCCTCGGGGTAATAGAGAACCACTGGGATTTATTGATTAGGGAAGTGACATTGTCAGACCTGTGTTTTAGGAAAATCATTTAGACAGCTCAGGAAAGTTTCCAGACTTGACAGGCAGACACATTTGGAGGTTGTTGCAGTAGGGCAGGCTAAAAGTTTTTGTTAAGGCCTGAGCAAGCATATGAAAGGAAAAGGGGGACAAATGCAAGAGCCTTTATGGAGGTAGAAATGGTCAGATTTGGCAAGTGGTTGGCAATATGGGATGAGGGAGAGACAGAGGCCCCACAGATGACCCAAAGGTTGGAGACAACAACCCTGTGAAAAGTCTTATTCTTGTTTTACAGTTGAAGAAACTGAGGCAGACGTAGGTCTGCCTGGGACTTGCCCAGGGTCACACAGCTAGTCAGTATCTGAAGTTGGATTTGAACTTGGGTTTTCCTGACTTTAAACCCAGCTCCCTATCCACTGTACCACCTGCCACCCCCTACAAGGTGGAACTTGTCCCATCTTTCCCCCAATGTTCTTTTCCTCCCAACTTCCCTGTTTTTGTTGATAACATCACCATCCTCCTAGTCACTCAGATCTGAAACCTGAGTCATCTTTGATTCTCTGACATCTTCAGTCAGCTACCAAGATATCAGTTTTGTCTCTGTGATGTATTTTATCCATCCCATCGTCTCCGTATACACTGCCAGCACCCAGGACAAGCCCTTATTCCTTCTCACCTGCTATTATCTGTCATTATCTGATGACCTGCCAACTTCCAGTTTCTTCACTCCCTCACACCCACCTCTACCTCCCAAACCCCCTTTCCCCATCTGTCCTTCATACAGTTAGAAATATATTCTTCCTCATATGTAGGTCTGACCATATTATTTGCCTGGTAAAAATCCTTCAATGATTTCTTCTTGTCTCTAAGTAAAATAAAAATTCTTCAGCCTGGCATTTAAGGCCCTCTTCAGTCAGTCTTTAGTCTACCTATTTTACTCCCTTTTATACACTGTCTGTTCTCTCCAAACTAGACTACTAGCTATTCCCAGTCTTGTCCTGTATTCCCCAAGCTCCAGGCGTTTGTGTGAGGCCTGCCTCATGCTGAGAAGGCCCTGCTTCCTCAGCCCTGCTTGCTTAGATCCTTTTTGACCCATCTCCAATGTCACCCTCTTCCATGAATCCTTCTCTTCCTCTCCTTTTCCCCTGCTGAAAGTCATCTCCAATATTAAAGAGTATTTTTTCTACCTTGTATCATACATTTTTGTGAAAGTGTTATGTCTCCCAGATTAGATGATAAAGTCCTTGGGAAAGGGGATGACGTTGACCTTATTAATCTTTGTAACCCCAGCTCTTAGCCCAGTACCTGTAACATAAAAGACATTTAATCAATGAATTGTCTCTGTATTTTTTGGTAAAGCCACTTTAAACCAGATTTCTACATAATCCCATATCTGTATTCCTGGAAAATAGAATCTGTTAGTGACAGATCTTTCCTAGAGAATGTTGCTTTTGGTTCTTTCACTGCCTTTGAAATAGGAGAAACAGTGTGGGATGATGGAAAAGTGCTGAACTTGAAGAGTCAGGAACGCCTGAGTTCTGATCCCATCTCCACCATTTACTGGCTGTGTGACCATGGAGGGAATCGCTTAATCTCTCTGGGCCTCATCTGCGAAACAGGATAAGAACTCATAGTACTCACTTCCTGAGACTATTGTGAGAGAACTGAATGTAGGCAGTATTTGTAAAGGGAGGAATCAGGGAGGAAACGAGCCTTTAATAAGTGCCTACTATGTGCTAGGCACTGGGCTAAGTGCTTTACAAATATTATCTCATTTATCTTCACGACAGCCTTCATACTTACCCCGTGAGACAGGGGCTTTTATAATCCTCATTTGCCGTTGAGGAAACTGAGCCAGAGAGGTTAAGTGACATACTTAGGATTATATGGCTAGGAAGTGTCTGAGGTTGGATTTGAATTCAGGTCTTTCTGACTCCAGGCCTAACACTCTTTCCACTGCTTGACCTAGCTAGCTATCTTGCAGCACTTTGCAAAACCTTAAATCACAAATAAGTGTCAGCTCTTATAATTAAATATTAATTATATTAATTAGTATTATTATATATTTTTATTTATATTATTATTAATTAAATAAGTCAGAGGTGACTTGAGGGAAGCCAGAAACGGGGGCATATATGCTTTTGCTTCACATTTGCTTCCCATCATCTGTTACTCACTAGAATTTTTATTACTTACTCAGTTAACATAATCTAAGGTGTCTTGGACAGCTTGCTGCATTTCATGACAAGCCAGTTAATGTAGCTTTCTTTTGTACCATCTCACAGAAACAGCTCTGACCAACAGTTTTTAGAAGCCTTTCTGTCTTGTGTTCAAAGGCCATGTTATTTTCTGTGATGGTTGCTGGTGAGCTTCTTTGTCTTCTCTCTATTTCAGTTACTCCTGACTATGTCCCTCTTCTTGCAAATTTTGACTTGGAGACTTTAGATGGAGGCCCTCACACCAGTGCTGCTGTTACAGTGAAAAACAAAAAGAAGGGAGAAAAGGGTAGGCATTTCTTTTTTCCTCTAATAATCCTTGGTGTGGGTTATTTTGAGCTGACTTGGTGGCCTTGGCTATCATGTTGACATCCTCTGACTCATATGCCAGGTGGCCTGAGGCATGGGGAGTTTAGGGGGACTGTGGACTCCAGCCCCTTCTTGGGAAAGTGTTCTAACCGTGCATGCACGGGTATGTTTCTTCCATGTGGTTGCTCCTTGTACTGATGAAGACCAGAGTCCCTTCATGCTTTGCATCTTCATGAGTTTCCATGGCCTAAAATAAGCTCATCACCTAGGAGCCAGCCCTCTGGTGATGAGTCTATGCAGACTGAGCTGAGCTGGTCCTTAAATGACAAACAATTTTGAGAATGTTTGGGAGGACAGGTCCCATCTTGCATTTTGCTAGTGTAGCTTTGGACAGTTGAGGGCACCTCAACATCACAAAGACACTTTGGCATGGGGCTTTGGAAATGGAACATGCCATAATGTGTGTGGGGGCCAGGAGTCTGGATGGTAAGGTGTTTTATCTTCTCTTGTGATGATTCTCGTGTATGGTGGTGTTCTGGGGGCAGGATTATTGTTTGTTTTTTTTCCTTTTAAGCACAAGGAGGAAGAAAACGAAAAGCTGATGGTGACAAGTCTTCCTCCCTGGAGAGACTTTCGAAGGAGGATGGTTCAGAATGTGAACATTCACAGTCTGATAAAAGCCAATTAGAAAAGGTATTGGGGCAGGGAGAGATTGGAGGGAGAGAGAGAGTGAGGTTGTTACCTCATAAACTTACAACCCAGCATATTCTACTTATGTAATGGTTCCTATACCCCCTCTGTACTGGACAACTGAAAGACTCCCATCGTCTTCTTCTATTTATCCATCTTCCCTTCCCTAGGGGCAGTTGCCTGAAGACCAGGGAATCTGGGATTGCCTCCGCCTATCAGGGACCCACCTCTAATACATTAGGCTCAGAAACTCTATATTTGTGAGACACGCCATAGCAGAAATGTCGTTATGTGGTGGTGAGCAATACACCACATCTGCTGTTTCACTGTTGAGGTAGCTGCTATATTGGAGAAGGTGCTGATCTGGATTCCCACATCTGACAGTAGCTTGCTCTATGACCCCAACTAGGTGCCACCTTGTCTGTGCATCCATTTTCCCATCTACAGAATGCCAATAATGCTTGTTACTTACTTCATAGGCATGTTTCGAGGAAAGTGCTTTGTAAATGTCATTGTGTTTTCTGAGTATGGACTACTATTTTTATTATTTCTGTTGTTTTAGCTGCTTATAGATGTGCCACCTCGACAATCTGGGACCTTAAAATATACAAGAAAAATTATAAGTGATTGTTGGCTTTGAGGTAGCATGTCATAATGGGTAGAGGGTTGGTTCCAGCACCAGGAGGACTTGAATACAAGTCCTGTCTCTGCCTCATCCTGGAGGCGTGGCCCTGGGCAAGTCACTGAAGCTCTTGGAACTTCCTGGCCCCCCTCTATGACTGAGTGACAAAGACAGAGCCATCTGACATTAGTGGAAGTCTCCTCTTTTGAGAGTTAGCAGTGACATCATAGCTCCCCTACCTACCCCCACCCTTACTAATCTATAAAACAGTCTTATAGTGTCAGTTTCAGATAATGTTAATGCACACACTCCTTTTGTTAACAAGGAACAAAAAAAAATGGGAAAATTGGAGTACTATTCTTGTCTTGTGGTAACCACTCTTTTAGGCAGCTCTGCTTAGCTTTTTTGTGGGAAGATAATACAGAGTGGTTGGTCGTGAGGAAGTGACTAGTATGTCAATATAAAGCATATTCATTTTAAAAAGGACAAAAATTAGTTATAGTATAACTCTTTAGCTTCTTTAATAAATTTAAACTTTGAATTTATGCACATCTTTTCAGAAATATATCTTTTGCATAAAATTAGATACATCAGTATACTTTGTAATTTAAAAAAAAAAATAGATTTGGCCCTAAGATTTACTGTATTATATGTGCTGCTGTTGTTTTTGCCCAGGAGTCCACAGAGAAGGAAGAGGAGAAGGCTTCTGTGTCACTCCAGAATTATACCACTTTCTTCAGAGAGTTGGACCTTGAGGTGTTCTCTATTCTACATTGTGGACTTTTGACCAAGTCTCTGTTAGACACTGAAATGCACACGGAGGTAAAGGATTGAGCAGGGATCCTCTAGCACTGGGCTGCATCCTATAAAAAGTTATTCTTATTTTGTGAGAAGTCACAGAAGCAGGTAGTAGGAAAGTTGGGAATTTGTCTGGATAGCCTCTCTCTATATCTTTCTGCCACAAAAATTGGGGAGGAGGGAACAAGCATTTTCTCAACACCTACTGTGTGCTAGGCACTGTGCTAAGCACTTTACAAATATTATCTCATTTGGTCCTCTTACCTCAGGCATCCTTGTTGAAGGCATCATTTATTTTATCACTATACAATCTACTGAGGAGATTGATTTCTGCCTCTATCTCTATGAGGAATTTTACATTCTGAGATACAGTACTTTTATAGGTCAGCCTGGTTCTGGGTCAGCTGTGGCCAGCTTCTGTTCTAGAGAAAGGATATATCTTGCCATGCTCTTCAGTCAGACTGGAGCTAAATACTCGAGTATATGAGATGTTAATTTCATTGTTTGGGATAGATTTCCTTATGTTCTGAGTAACATGGTGACCTTGGAGTAGCCTGTATTCTAGTTGATTAAATAGTATACACTAAGGGAAGAAACTGTGAAGGTAAAAATAATTTAACCTGAGGAAACAAATGCCGTTAGCCATAAATGAGGCACTTTTCATCTCTGGGTTTTTAGATGATTTAGTCTGAATCCATAGATAGAGGGAAAGCTGAAAGATTCATTAATTGCGGGAGAGAAAACTTATTACCAATGACTCACTGTAGAAAGTTTCACTCTTTAATCATTTCAGAGGTCAGACAGAGCACAGTAACATTGCTGTACTGTGAAATGGGAGGATTTTCTTGTTGGGACACTTAGGTTTTAGATTTTTGGGAAACTGGAAAGGTGAAAATTCCCCTTCAGATGGTAAGGGAGCAAAGGTAAAATGTGTGAACTTCAGATCACACATCTCATCTGGCCCCTTCATTTTAAAGTTCAGGAAACTGGGGCCCACACAGGTTCAGAGACTTGCGCAAGGTCACACAGATAGTTAAGTAGCAGAGCCAGTATCTGACCCAAATCTCTTACCCCAAATCCACAGTTCTTTCTACTGTATTCGTGAACCTGATAAAATGGTAAATTTCAGTATGGACCTGCCAAGATGAAACCTAACTCTTTTGATATAATTAGAACAATTAAATGAAAACAAGGCAAAGGAATGGATACAACTTGCTTGTGGTTGGAGGACATTGATTACAAGATATAGGATGTCCGACAGGTTTTAGTGCAGTTTAAAACTTTAATAACTTCAGAAATATAAATGCTACAAATTTATACACCCCCAGAAAAAATACCAAAAAAAAAATGTCTTCTATACCTCAACCTAGTTGATTCTTAAACTTTGTAAAAACTTTTAACAGCTGCTGCTCACTGCCTGAAAAAGATTGCATTTGTAATCTTCACCTTAAGTCCATCCAAAGAATGAGGTTTTGTTGCATACACTACACGTGTTGTATGACCAGACAAGAAAAGTCCAGTAGAAGTGACCAAGCAAGAGGATCCTCTCTCCTGACCCCTCGATCTGAGAAAGGGTCATCCAGAAACTGTCATAATGACAGAGTGGCTTCTCTTGTTAAAATTGAAATTTTAAATGTATTATTGAAAATTCACAAAACAAAATAAGTATAAAAGAAACTTAAATAACTTTTTAAATGTTGTTTTTTGTAAATTTGTAGCCTTTATGCTTCCAAAATTATTAAAGCTTAAAACTGGACTCGAGACTGGAATAGCTTTTATAGGTGAAATTGATCTTCATGATTTTATAAAGATTCCAAGTCTTACATATAAATTAATAACATATTACATGATATTGTGTTACCAGGCTCAACGATTTACTTTTGATAATAAGTTAGTCTGAATTCTTCGAGGACTAATAGATCATGGTGAGAGGCAGTTGCTCTGTATTAGATAGCAGAGCAAACAGCATTTGAAATTTGTCATGGATGTTTGACGTGCAGATAACAGTAATTCGTGTGATTGAGGATATCTGGCATCTTTTCTCCAAATCACAGGCCACTGAAGTTGTACAGTTAGGACCCCCCGAGTTACTCTTCCTACTGAATGATCTTTCCCAGAAACTGGAAAATATGCTTGTGCCCACTGCTACCAAGCGGATCTCTTTCCTCAAGGTCAGTATAAACAACAGCAAGGGGGTCTTACTAGCAAGTAATTGCTGATAGTTTTTCTCATTTTATTTGCATCATTGTGCAACAAGCTACTGCTGGGGAAATTTTTGTTCAACTTAATAATGTGACAAGTAGAATTTTTTTTAAATGACATGTAAAATAAGAAATGTGCTCCCAGACACCCACCCAGCTTTCTCAGTGTTTTCCATCTTAGCTGAATCATGCTCTTCCCCTGTTTTGCAGTTAGCATTTCTTAAATGAACCTATGCTCAATTTCAGCATTGTAGCTCATTACTCACACACAAAGCATACAAGCAAGGGCATGTGGCCTTCCCTGCATAATAAACAACCAAAGAGGAGCTGGGTGATGCAAGCCGGTGAAATGTTCAAATCTCCCCAAGTGTGAACAAGCAGGCTGCACTCGTTCAGGTGCCAGGTGGCTCTTGGTGTCTGTCATGTGACCACAGATCTTGTAGATCTTGGAGTTCTGTTTGTCCGTCCAATCACGAGGATACAGCCTGCTCAGCAGCAGCAGAGATTCTGTCAGTTTTATTTTCTTGCTCAGTGACCAGCATCATGCTTGCTGTTATGGGGGCTTGATTAAGAAGTTTTGAGAATATAGAACTCATCCCACCTTAGATGAAAAACAGTTTAACATAGCATTGACGTGGAGCTTTTTACCAGTTATTCAAAGTATTTTCACATCCAGTACTGCATTAAATTCTTCCAGTAAAGTCCTGCTGTAGGGCCTCATAGTTTAGAAGGGTTCTGAGGTTCCCAAATAGCTACCAAGTGCAGTCTTTGGCTTGGAGTGAGGGTCCGTTGTTCAACCATGTGTCTTTTGTCTCAGGACCCACCTGAGTATTCAAGGTTGAAGATGCTCCTTAGCAGAATGATAGTTTCCAGGGGCTTTCCATTTGGTGAGAGCGCCTCATGGAAGGCCTCATTCTAAGTCATAAAGTGGTTTTGATTTGCTCTGGTGGAATAAAGTACCCACATGATGCAGTTATGTCTTTGAAGGAGTGCAGCATGCACATTAGCTGCTGGAGGCTCTGGGTTTATGGTTCCTCGTTCTGCCTGCTTACAGTATTTTTTCTGTGACCTGGAAGTTCTGAATTTTGGTCACTTTTGGGAATTTTCTTTTTGGAGTCTTTTTGGGAGGTGGTGGGTGGATTCTTTGTATTTTCACTTTGCTGTCTTGTTCCAATAAATCTGGACAGTTATCTTTCATGATTTCTTGAAATATCCAACCCCTTTTTAAAATCATGGCTTTCAGGTAGTGCAGTATGAAATACCTTCCATTTCCTTCTATCTTTTCAGTGTTTTGACTTTCCTTTAATATTTCTTGTTGCCTCATGGAGTCATGAACTTCTCTTTGCCATTCTAATTTCTAATTCTGATTCATGGGTAGCATTTTGCATTTTTTGTGCTAAAATGTTAATTCTCTTTCCAAAACTCTCTTCCACAACTCTGATTTCTTTCCAATTCTTTTATCTAGTGCTCTCATGTATAAAATCATTTTTAATTCCTTTATTAAAAACTCTTGCTTTATCTCTTCCAGGAATTCTAGTTGACCTTATGCTCAAACTGTGTTTTTCTTTGAGTTTTTGCTTGTAGGTATTGTAGACTTATTCTCTTATGGGTTTGTGTCTTAGGCATCCCTGGCATCATAGTATCTCTTTATCTTTTTTTGTTGTTTATTCATTCTTCCAGTCTTACTTCCCAGATTGAGACCTCGTGTTGGGCCTAGGCTCTCATATTTAGTGTCCTGCTTTTGGAGTTCAAATGACAGAGCCTGGTTCCAGGATCCCCTCTCTTGGGTCAGAGTATCAGTTCAGTTCTTTAGCCAGAGGCTGAGTTTGAAGTGACAGGCCATTTATGCTTGGGGATCCCAGTCTCTATTTCATGGTCAATGACAGTATTATAGCCATGTTCTGCACCGAGTTCCTACCAAGTTACTAGCCCATTGGTCAAATTTGTGATCTTGTGCTGGAAAGATAACCCACTGTGATTTTCTCTTAGATTTCCAATCATTACTTAGTCTCACACTTCTCTGAGATCTTTATTAGAGTATTACTCAATCAATAAACCTTCATTAAGTTTCTACTATGTACCAGGCACTGTGCTGAGTGTTGGGGATACAAAAAAGAGGCAAAACATAGTCCCTGCCCTCAAAGAGTTTACAAATTAATGGGGGTGACAGCATGCTAACAAATATATGCAAAGCAAGCTATGTGCAGAATAAATAGGAAATGATTAATGTAAGGCAGTCACTAGAATTAAGAGGAGTTGGGAAAGGCTTCCTGTAAAAGATGGGATTTTAGTTGGAACTTAAAGGAAGCCAGGGAGATCTATAGGCGTTGTTGAGGAGAGAGAATTCCAGGCATGGTGGGGGGTCAGCCAGAAACAATGCCCAGTGCTGAGAGATGGAATATCTTGTTCATGGAATAAGCCAGGGAGCAGTTTCAGTGAATGGAAGACTACATGTAGGGGAGTAAGATGTAAGAAGACAGGAAAATAGGAGGGGGCTAGGTAAAGAAGAGTTTTGAATGCCAGGCAGAACTTTTAGGTTTGATCCGAGAAGCTATAAAGAGCTACTAGAGTTTATTGAGCAGGGGAGTGACATAGTTAGACCAATGCTTTAGGAAAATCACTTTAGTAGCTGAATGGAGGAAGAATTGGAGTGGGGAAAGACTTGGGCAGGCAGACGCACTAGCAGCTATTGTAGTAGTCCAGGCATGAGGTGATGAAAGTCTGTACTAACGGGGTGGTGGTGACAGAGGAGAGGAGGAGGTGTATTAGAGAGATGCTGCAGAGGTGAAATGAGAAGATCTTGGATATTAGGGCTGAGAGATAGGGAAGATGTCTCCTAGGTTTTGAGCCTGAGGGACTGGAAGGATGATGTTGCCCTTTAGAGTAATAGAGAAGGTAGGAGGAGGGAAGGATTTAGGGGGAAAGATAATGAGTTCCATTTTGGACATGTTGAGTTTAAGAAGTCTGCTGGACATCCAGTTTGAGATACCTGCAAGACAGTTGGAAATGAGAGATTGGGTAGATTTAAGAATCATCATCATAGAGATGGCAATTAAATCCATAGGAACTGATGAGATCGCTAAGAGAGGTGGTATAGAGGGAGAAGAGAAGATGGCCTAGGACAGTACCCTGAGGGACACCTGTGGTTAGGATCTAGCAAAAATGATTGAGTAGGATCAGATAGGCAGGAGACCTAGAGGAGAGTGGTATCCCGAGAGAAGGGAGTAGAGAGTGATCAGCGATGTGGAGGGGCCAAGGAGAGTGAGGGTTGAGAAAAGGCCATTGGGTTTGGCAACTAAGAGATCATTGGTAACTTTGGAGTGTAGTTTCAATAGAGTAAGGTCAGAAGCTGGATTGGAAGTGGAGGCACATATTACAGACAGCCTTTTTGAGGAGGTTAGCTACAAAAGGCGGCAGGGTAGCTGTGAGGGGAACCAGCTTGTACTGCTGCTTCCTACTCTGCTGTCTTGGCCAGTCTCTGGTTTCCATTCCTGTAGGGCTTTGGTCCCTTAGAAGTAAACTTCACTCTTCCATGAAGGTAAACTGGCAAGGAGAGGAAAAAGACTGTTCTATTCCTTATGGTCAGAATTCATCCAGCAGTCAAGTGGGCAGCTTGCTGCCTCAGATACTCCTGATTAGAACTTGCTATGTTGGACTTATTGTCTGCTGTGAACAAGATCCTGCTTCTTAAAGAACTGTGTGGTAATCTGTAATTGGGCTTGGGATTTTGTTGTTTCGTTGCAGGGTAAAGGAAACCGGAACATTGGATTCTCCCATCTGCATCAGAGATCAGCTCAGGAAGTAGCTCACTACCTAGTGCTCCTGCTGACCCCACTGTGTAACCACCTGGAGAACATGCACAACTATTTTCAGGTCAGCAACCTCCCTGTCTTTCAAGCCACTTCTGTAACTGAGAGCAGTTGTTTCTAACCCAAGTAGAAGTGGGGCCATTGAAGTATTCATAAGGATCCCTACTGGCTGCCTAATGGCTTAGAAAACCGCACATTACCATTATCTGTGTTCTGTTGTATTTTTATTTGTTTCCTTAAATATTTCCTAATTGCATTTTAATCTAGTTCAGGCCACAGTGTGGCTGGCCACATGTTTGACTCCTCTGATCTAGAATCTCAAAAATTATCACCTGAATAGAGAACTTCGTCTCTTTAGTTATGAGGAACTGGGGGAAAATAGGAATACTGACTGAAGAACTTGATCTAGAAACATGTTCCTCTCTTTATTTAAGTGCTTGGCTACTGAAAACCATGGTGTGATAGATGGACCTGGAGTAAAAGTACAGGAGCACCAGATGATGACAACTTGTTACCAGAGGCTGCTGCAGATTTTTCTTGCCTTGTTTGCCTGGTGAGTGTATGGGATGTGACTCAGGTGGATGTAAAGGAGTTATGTAGCTGCTTTCAGTCCTCAGTCACCGATTATATAGTGCAAAGAGTCAAAAAGACCTGAGTTTGAATCCAACCTCAGATATTTAGTAGCTTTGTGACCCTGGGCGGGTAATTTAGACCTCCCCCAGGCTCAGTTTCCTTACCTGTAAAAACAGGATAAAAACATCTACTCTACAGGCTTGTTGTGAGGATTAAATGAAGTACCCTGTGAAGGGCTTTGCAAACATTAAAGTACTCTATAAATGCTAGCTGCTATGATTAATATTATCACTGTTGAGAGGCAGGTTTATTGTGCTTGGTGTTTTTCAGAATAGAAAAGAAATACAAGTCCCTGTCCAGGATCACCAACATTTGTATAATTTTTATGTTTTTCAGAGTATCCTCATGTACATTGTTTTATACTTGCTTTACCTTGTTTAGCTTTTATTGCAGGCATTGTTACCCCATTTAAAAAATGAGAAAACTGAAGCACCAAGAGATGAGGGGACCTTTCCAAGGTCACAGCAAGTTTGTGACATGTGACCCAAATCCCACAATCTAGAGAGGCTTTGTCCCCAAGATCCCCCTAAAAACATAGGACATAGGATCAAACATATTTCCTGGCTTTCATTTGGCCATTTTCTTCCCATAACCTGGGTTTCTGAAATTCTTAGATACCCTTGTTTAGAAAATTCTTTCAGATAAATACTGAACTTTTGCTAGTTTTCAAATAATTTTTACCAGCCGCTCATTCCCTTTGTAGATAGTAATAATGATACATTGAATTTACATGAGACCTTTCTTTTAAAAGCTCTAGATATTTATACATTGTTTATCATAATTTTTCTTTACCATGTCCCTATGAAGAAAATCTTAGATAGCCATTATGTATCGTAGCTTATCAATAGAGAAATTTAGTTACAGAGAGGGTAAATGTGCCGAGATCCCTTGATTTGTAGCATAATTTTGTTGACACCAAATTATCCTTTCTGTTATATGTTAGGGAGAATGGATAGCATTATATACTTGAATATTTACAGGTTAATACGAAATGTGTCTTCAAATACAAAATTGAGTATTAAAAGCTCTAAGTTCCATGAAGTTCAAAGAAGGGAGTTATCACTGTAAACTAGAGTTGTTTGGAAGGTCTTTAGAAGGTAGTAGGACTTGAAGGATAAATAAGTGAGAACAGAGATGAGAAAGATCATGAGCAAAGACACATCAAGAAAGAACAGGAGCTATCCAGGGGACAGTCTGGAGACCAGCCTGACCAGACCAGAAGGAGCGCGTGAGCCAAGGCGGTGCCAGGATGTCGCAGGATGTTAGACTGTCCTTGCCTGAAACCATCCTAACCTGCCCTTCTCTTGGCTTATCTCTAGGGGTGGCTTTTCTCAGGCTGAAAACCGGAACTTAATGCTGGAGGCCCTGAAAGTCCTCACCAACAGACTGAAACAGGGAGACCATGAAGCACCATTAGGAGAGTTACTTAGGTTCGTAAAAGACACCCCGATAAGTTTTGTCTTAACATCCTTCCCCATCCTTCGACAGTTTGGAAGATTCTTAGATCTACTTCCTTAGAGCATCCTTGCAAATAAACACCAAAGATTTACTGGTCTCCAAACAATTCTTGTTCACCAGGTCCTCATGCTCCAGACTAAAATGCCAGTCTTTAACACGTAATGCTACTTTGGACTAATGTAGTATCTTGCTTTTAAAAGTTCTGGGTGCCTATACCTCATTTATTGTGATTTTTCTTCACATCTCGGTGCATTTTTGCAGATGGAAGTACAGTAGATGAACTGTCTAAAGTCACCGTAGTAGTCACGAAGTCAACATAGAAGTCAGACTTCTGACCCCATCCCTCACCTGTCCCCCATCTTCCAGCCCCAGTGTTCCATCCTGATACTTCCTGGTTTGGAGCATATAGCACAGCTGTCACGAAGGAGGAATCAGTCATTTAAGCATTTAAAAATGTAAATGTCTTAGATAAGATAATGGAAAAGGTAGTAAACTCTTTGAAATGGATTTAGGGAGACAGTTGTAGACACAACTGAATGACTTGATTGCTGTTTTTCCTCTTCTTTATTACCTTTTTTACAGCCAGAGTTTCCACTACTTACAGAATTTCCATCACAGTGTTCCCAGTTTCCAGTGTGCCATTTATCTTCTTCGGCTCCTTATTGTCATCTCAGAGAAATCTACAGCCTCCCAGAACAAAGAAAAATTAGGTGAAAGACCGTCTTTCCTTTTTCAGATGGATAATACTGTTCTTTTGAAATCTGAGGATCTCCAAGCACCTTATGCATTTGGCCTTACAAATCCCTTCCCTTCTTAAGGTGGTGAGCAGTTATTGTCATACTGTATTTTGTAATGAGAGAAACTGAGGCACCAGGTTAGGTAGTGATATGACTTTCTCCTTATCTAGAATACTTCCTATTATCAAAGGCAGGACAATTGGAATCTTTACAGAATTGTAGACTATCAGAATTGGAAGGCACCTCAGAAGTCATCTAGACTACTTCATATTTCAACAGAAATATACAACCGTAACCTGAATTCTCAAAAAAAAAAAAAGCCACGTCTGTGATTAATTAACTTAATTAGTTGGACCACGGGATTAGTTAGACCATGGGACTGGTCTAACTAAGATCAGGATTGAAGGTTTGAGTCCTGTCTAGGCCAGTTAGCTTTACTGTGTTCCAGACTGAATGCTAGCTTAAGATTGGGAATTTGCTTGATAAATGTGGAATCACACCAAATGCAGTCCTAAGAGATATCAAGGGTGCCGGGGCAGGTGTAGGGGAGGTATGTGTATGTTCGGTTTTTTAAGGTTTTCTGTTAGGAGAAAGGGTCACAAGGAGCTGCCTTTTTAAAGACTGATGCTTTACAATTGTGCTCCCAAGGGAGTACTGAGACCCTTCCAAGCTGCTCATCAGGCCTGTATTCTTCTTCCAACAGCTTCCCTGGCCAGGCGGTTCCTCTGTCAAGCTTGGGTGCAGCCAAATGGAGAGAGAGAGAGAGGCAGCAGCTTTAATGACCAACTGAACACTTTGCTCTGGTGAGAGAGTTGGCTTTTGCCATTTGCTTTTTGTGGGGCCCTTCATCTGGCCAAAAAACTCAGAAATGGCTGGTGTTAGCATTAGTCCTCCATGGGGTGAACGTTGGAAGAAAACAGAAAGTGACTAAACAGGCTTGAAATGATTGTTACCGCATTCAGTCTGTAAATTAATTTAGATATTATTTTCAGTTTTAAAAATTTCATTGAAACCCAGCTGTACACAATGATTCTCCAGTTATTTAAGCCTTCCTTTATTTCTGTAAAGAATGTTTTATGATAATGTTTATAAAAATCTTGAGTATGTCTTGGTTATAAGCTTGAAATGAGCCAGACTTGGGACTAGTGGAGTCTATGATCTTTCCATTCTGTGTTAAATTGCCACATTAACTCCTTTGGTGAAACAGAATAATTCAGGATACACCGAACTCCTCAATCTGTGATATATCCCTTGTTAGTCGATCAAAACCATGTTGAACTAGGGACACCAAAGGAGATAAGCTTGTCTGTAGCTCCTAAATTTATTCTGTCCATAGGTTGGGGAAGAGAAACTCTAAACTACAACATTTCATAACTGGCTCAGAGTTCTAGCTTTTCCTTCCATCTATTATATGTTTCATATCACCCTAAGAGAGTTTAGAAAAGAAATGAGACTTTATTTTGCAAATAAATAAATGCCCCTCTGAGCCTCCAAGAAAGGAGTGTTTAGTCTGTTCTAAAGCCTTTAGTCATTCTGTTCTTAATCAGTCACGTGGCTCTCTTAGTGCAGCATTTACCTGGAGCGAGCAGACCATGTCCTCAAGTTTATAGAGGAGATTGCTGGTACTGGGGTCCCAGAGCTAATCAATTCTTCCAAAGATGCTTCTTCTTCCTCTTTCCCTACACTGACCAGGTAAGTCTTAGATTGTTATTTCTGTGGAGATGTTCACAAGTAAGTCTTCCGCATCCTACCTTTTCACATCTTGTTTTGTCCTGAGGATAATGTTTTGTTTACTTCAGAAGTACTTAACTAAGGCCTCAATAAAGCATCTTACTCATGTTCTCATTATTAAGCTAGAACCAAGCTGTCCAACCTTTTTCTAGTGTTCAGATGATTCCCATGTTCAACATCTGACCTTAATGTTTCTTATGAGACATTGGTGGAATCTCTGTGACAAATAACAAACCTTAATTGACTTATTCTCAGCTAGTATAATTCAAATATGAGAAAATCCTGTTGAGCAGCACTAGAAGATTGGGTTCTTAAAGCCAATGAGATGCTTGGAGTGGGGGGAAATGTAGCTGCATAATATCCTTTCCTCAAATATGTTAATTTTATCATTTCACTTTGAGAGATCATTTAGCCCATATTCTAGTTATTTCACTTTTAAGAGGTTAAAAGTAGGGAAAAAATGACTGTCAATGAAGGTCCTATGTCCATTCTCTTAAACCTTCCTCACCGGCCCTTGTGTTTCATCAGGTTAATATTGTTTTGTAGGTTTCAGCTGTGATCTTGCCCCTTAGTTTGCCTTATGTTATCATGGGTCCCCGTGACAGGATGCTGAGGGACCTGGGAAGGAATGGCCTTTGCTTTCTTCACAAAAGTGCAAGTGCTTACTCATGTTGGCGTGCTCATAGCTGCTCTGCCATAGGCCAGGATCTTACAAATCTTCCATTTTTCTAGGCAGACATTTGTGGTTTTCTTTCGAGTGATGATGGCTGAGCTGGAGAAATCAGTGAGGAACCTTCAGGCTGGTACTGCTGCAGACTTGCCTAAGGTAAGGACCTAACATTGGATAATAGTTGAGGATTGATTTAAAACAACCACCACTACCACGCTTTGTTTCATCTGGCCCTATTCACTCTAGAGGGTCAAGGTAATAAGAATATACATCTGCCCTTGGCAGTGGACTCTGGATTATCCAGACACCTACACTCAGGTACCATGTATCTCTCCAGCCACTGGTCCCACTAAGTTGCTCCTCCTGAGGTTCCTCACAGCAACTTCCTGCCATCCTTAGTCCCTTTTCCTCACTGTCTGTCAGCTGACTCTAGAAATGCTGTGCCAAGACTAGCTCCTATAGTCTCTCCATCCTCTCCCTTAGCTCATTCCCTGATGTGTTCCTTTGTTTTCCTGGAGGTTGGACTGTGACTTACTCATGGATAACTTTGGCCGCAAGTCTATTTGCTAGTAATATGGACCAAACCCCAAAAGCCATCTCTGACTCCTGCCATGCCCTGGTGGTCACCTAAGATGCTTGCTTTTCAGGCGCTGAGATAGAATCAGAAAGCATGTTTCTTGGTGTACTTTGTGCCAGGTCTTTAGTAGTTAGCTCACCACAGTTGATTTAGGTGGGTACTCTGCAACTGTGTGTGTAAAAGAGCCCCAGAGGTCTCATGGTCATTAGTCATTTTGAGGCCAAGATCTGCTTTGAAAACAGGGTCTTGATTCTTGTTTCTTGCTTGTGTTTTGGCTCGACATATGAGTGTATGAATGAATGTGTGTATGAATGAATGTATGAATGAATGAAGAGTGAATGAGCATTTATTAAACGCTATGTGCAAAGCACTTTGCCAGGCTCTGGAAATGCAAATAGAAAAGTCAGACAGTCTCTGACCTCAGTCAGCTCCTATTCTAATGGTGAAAACAATACATGTGTAAGGTTTCAGCTGCCAATCCTATGGAAAGGACTCATGGTCTCTTAGGGTCTTGCAGCAAAGTTATGTCTTCTTTAACGTCTTTTCCCCTGATAAAATCATATCCATTTCTGAAGTCGAACCATTTGACAATGCCAAGGACTTTTGTGTATGTAGTGCTTATAACCACAGTAAGGGTGTATGGCTGTTTCCTCTTGGTTTGAATCTTAGAATCTCCATGCAGTTTTTGGATTTGATTGCTAGAAACAGAATGCAGTAGCATAATTTGGCTCTGATTGTGGGATGCCCGTTTCTATGGCTACTGCTAGGTGCATGAGGAAAAGCTTCTCCATTGGAGCATGGCTGTCCGAGACTTTAATGTCCTTATCAACCTGGTCAAGGTAAGTTCATGGGTCTTGGCCCATCTCTCTGGCTCCTGTATTCTCTTTAAGGAAGCAGGGGTCCCTTCTGGGGACATCCATCCGTCATCCTTCAGCATCATTTTCCCAGCTTCCCTTCCTGGGTAAGAGCTAACCCTAACTGTCTCCTGCCACCACCCAGACAATACCATCTTTCTCCTCTGTGAAATTTGTGAGGAAACCAAAGCCCATTTCTTTCCCTATTCCATGTCCCCTCATAGTGGGCCATTATGAGATGAAGAAACTTGGGAACCAATCCATGGATGAAACACAGAAGCTCCTTCTTTTCCTTTCTCTTTGTGCAGGGCCTCCTAATGTCCTTCCTTCTTGCCGGGCTCACATGTATAGATATTGGTCTTCACCGCCCCCGCCCCTGGACTGTTCTGTTATCCCCATATGCCATATCGGTTTCTCTTTGCTACTTTTCTTGGATGTGCAGGATACAATATGCATATATCTTCACTCATTAGACATGCTCCTGCATATTTTATTAGCATATTAGTTCTCATCAGATCAGAATTTTGGTTCCTCTACCATCCCAGAAGCACTGAATCATTACTATATGATTCCTATTGTGGTAAAATTCAAACTAATATCCTGCTGGCTAGAACCCTGCCTCCTGTGGCTTTGACCAAAGAGCTGTGGGAGGCCATGTTGGCCAGTGGGAAATGTGCAGTACTTGGAGGTCATGAGAACCAAGGTCATGCACATTTGCTGTGTGACCATGGGTAAAAATGACTTACCCTCTCTGAGCCTAACCATTCATATCTGTAAAATGTGGGTAAAAATACTTGTAGTACAAATTACACAGGGTTATTGTGAGAAAAGCACTTTATAAATCTTAAAATACTAAAGTGGTATGAATCGTTGTGCTTAGTATTATTACCTACCTATATAAGAACTAGGCCTAAGCTTTTACTGGTTTTTCTTCCCTCTCAGGTGTTTGATAGCCGGCCAGTCCTAAATGTTTGTCTGAAGGTAAGGGAGGTTTGCTGTTCCATTAAGAAACCAGGCCCATTTTGTATTGGATTTTCCTTCTAATCAAGAAGAGTTTCCACTGCTTCAGGAAAAAGCTTCAGCCAAGAAGGCTTTGGCCAGTCCCTTCCCCACAGGCCTGAGTCTCAGGAATGAATACCTCCCGGGGGGTATTTTGGGAAGAAATCAGTGAATGAATCTTCCCAGACTCATTGGATGGATGGAGAATCCCGTGTTGCTGTAGCTTTAAATCCCTGGTTAGAGGCCAAGGGAGCAAGTCAAAGAGGGGTTGGGGGTAGAGATGCCCTAGGAATAGCTAGGAGTGGTGAGTGGGGGCTGCCTTGCCCAAGATCTCTGGTCAGGTCGGAGGAAGGAGAGAAGGCAAGAGAGCCTTTAGTCTCCTCCTTTTGAGGCTCCATAGCCCAGTGATGTAGCTTTAGACCGTCAGGTGTGAGCTCTGCTTTCTTTCCCTTTAGTATGGACGTCTCTTCGTGGAAACCTTTCTGAAGCAGTGCATGCCCCTCCTGGACTTCAGTTTCAGAAAACATCGGGTAAGAACAGCAAGCCAGTGAAAAACAAAGAGGCAGGGTGGGTCCTGGGATTCAGTTCAGTCCTTGGATTGGGGTCCACTCCTGGGAACAGAAGCACCAGAATAGAACGAGGCACCTACCCCAAACAAGACTAAACCCAAGGCAGGCCGAGCCTAGTTTAAACCCACCTTCCTAGGTCTGCCTCCAAGATGGAAAATAGAAATAATGACCTTGCTGGTGCATCCCTGTGGCCTGGAGTGTCCGTGTTCTTATCTAAGCCTGAGCCAACTTCCCTTCTTGTTTATCCCGGTACCAGAACTGACATTAACAGTGACTTTCTAGAAGGGGAATACTGTGGGGACTTTGCATGGAGAGACAGCCTTTCAGTCCTGTCGCTTCCTTAACAGAGTTGCCCTATTCTCAAGAATGGGACTGAGATTCCAACTTGAGACTAAGTGCTTTTCCCTTTGAAAGAACCAGATCATTCTCAGGGTTCTGGGTATTTAACACTGTCTTGAGAAAGGGTCATTATGGGGCAGCTAGGTGGCACAGTGGATAGAGCTCTGGCCTTGGAGTCAGGAGGAACTGAGTTCAAATCTGGCCTCAAACCAAACACTTTACAGTTACAAGCTGTGTGACCCCGGGCAAGTCACTTAACCCCAATTGCCTTAAAAAAGAGAAAAGAAAAGGAGAAAGGACCATTATTCTAACTTTTGTCAAGTAGTTCTTCCTAGCAGTCTTGTGAGGTCAGTCAGTGGAATCACAATTCCCAGGTCGTTGGGGTCGAGACTAGAGAACTAAATCAGATAGAGCACATTTTATTGTTCAGCTTCGGGTACTAACAGTGGGAGAGCTGGCTAAGTTGTGGGCACACACTGGCAGGTTGTGTAGTGTATAGGAGTAAACACATAGAGACCGACCCTCTTACCTTTGGTTCATGCTTTTAAAAGCCTTGCAAGATACTGATATTTGATTCTTGATAATTCTCTCAGGTTCCATTTAACAGGAAGGAAACTGAGGCCCAAGAGGTTAAATGACTTAAGTCCCACATCTAGACCAGAACTAACTAGTATCCAGATCTTGAAACCCTTAGCATGAGATTCTTTCCAATGAACTACACTATCTACCAGGAGACAGAAGATGCCAGGACTAAGGAGGACATCTGCCTGCCCCATCACTGCTCCTTCTGGAGAAGGACCAAGTAAAGATGACATAGCTCTGTAGCTAGGACCCTTATGGTCCCTTCATTGTGGGTTCTCCTGTCTTGGCCTTATTTTTTGCATTTGTAATGAAATGAGAGCTCTTGTTGCAGAAAAAAGGAAAATCTTTTTAGCCTCAGTTGACAACTTGCTAGGCACAGCAATTTTTACGTAACAAACCTTTCTGGGTTGGTTTCAGGAAGATGTTTTGAGTTTACTGAAAACCTTCCAGTTGAGTACGAGACAACTTCATCATATGTGTGGGCATTCTAAGGTAAGAAGGCAAATGGGAGACATTACCAGCCCTTATATCTGTTTAAAATCTGCAGGCACTGCTTACCATTTCATAGACTAGGATAGTTTCTTTTACCTTCTTCTAACTTTTTAGCAGCCTGGTACCCTGTCTGAAGTAATTTTATTTAGTGTTGTGAAGACTTTGGGGAGCTGAGGGAGGACAGCCAGGTCTAAGACAAATTTCAGTATATGAAATAAATTCACACCCAACACGTTCCAGAAGGTGTTGTTAGAGGAGAGAGACAGAATGCCTGTGGATGCATTATATAAGTAGTGAATCCTGCTGGTGAGTAAGTGACAGGAAGCCAGCTGTTGGAGCCCTCTTTGCATTTATAATCTGCCTGGCAGAAACAGGTCTCTTGCTTCTGATAACACTTTAGGCACAAAAGAAAAAATTAAATTTTTTTTCTTGCTTGATGCCAGCCTGTGATGGGCTGTTGTCTTCCTTAGTCCAAAGGATCAAGGGACTGCAGGATGCAAAGGCTATTTGGCAGGTGAGTTGGGCCTTCTACCTTGGCCCTTCTGCTCGGTGTTTTCTTCTCTCAGGTCCATTTTTAGAAGGTGCTTCTAGTGAAGATTCAAATAACATTTCAGCCAATTAGAGCTAGTCAGTGTTATTTGTTACTAACACAAATAGCTTCATGAAGGGTCTTGATAGATCTTTACCAGCTTAATAAAAGGGTATTTGAGGTAAGTGTGATGCCTCTTTTGAATTTGACATCATGGAAGGCAAGTAGTTATGCTCTGCCACAGAATATCCCCTGTTCTCTGCCCCTGTCAGGGAGTAAATCCTGAATAAATGAGCCATTGGCCTGACTCAGTGGTTTAAATGACTAAGAATATTGATAAACAGAAGAATATCCAGAGGACAGCCAGGATGGTGAAGGGCCTTGAGATCACGACAGATGAGGACCACTTATCCTAGAGAAATGACTTAGGGGAGGCATAGTGGTTATGTTCAAGTATCTGAACGATTTCAAGTGGAGGGATTCGCTTGGTTCTGCCTGGTCCCCTATGGCAGAAACATGAACAACTTAGTTTTGATGTCAAGAGAAACTTCCTGACAATTCAAGCTATCCCAAAGGGGAGTGGACTGATGCAGGATGAACTCCCTCCATATTGGTCTTCATAGAGAGCCTGGATTGCCACTTTGGAGGCATGTTATTTATAGCAGGGATTCCTTTGGTGTGTGTGCTGGACTCAAAGGCTCTGTTGAGGCCCCTTGTAGCCAGCTCTTAGATTCTCTGCTTCTGAGATCCTGACTGCCTAGCTTGTGATGATGGAGCAACCTTTATATTGGAGGAGTGGGAGTCTAAGCTCCAGCTGTCTCTCTTTTGTGTATGCATCCTCAGCACCCGTAGGGGTGCTTAATAAATGCTCATCGACTGTCTGGGGAGTTCGAGAAAGTGAGAAGAATCCTCAAGAATAGATTCTACATGGCTTAGCTACGTTGGGTTTCCCTTTCAGATTCATCAAGATACCAGTCTCACCAATCACGTGCCTTTGTTGAAGAAAACCCTGGAGCTGTTTGTGTATAGGGTGAAAGCCATGCTCATCCTAAACAACTGCCAGGAGGCTTTCTGGCTGGGCAACCTCAAAAACAGGGACCTGCAGGTGAGTGTGGGGGCCGTCAAGACAAGCTGGGTCAGCCCTATGTAGGAAAACTTGGGAGGTCCACATTGGGAAGAATGGGAAGGGAAAAGCATCTGGAAAACAAAGCAAGGGGTGGCTGCTTGTAACTTACCTCTTTAAACCCTGTTCTTAAAAAGATCTCTTCTGGCTTTTTTGGTTCCCTATCTCTGGCTAGCTACTGTTAATGAGGCTCAGATTACGGTTCAGTCTCCTATGGGCCGTTCTGTGCCATGCACATACTGTACCTCCGTCATGGTAGCCATCTCCTAATTGGTTGTAAGGGAGAGTGAAAGACCTTATGGAAAAATATCTTAGTGCATTCATTTCCTGTTGAATTTGAGTTATTAGTGAGACCTTTGTATATGTAGTGGTGTTATTTCTTTTCCTCAACTGGTTTTGTTCCTAGATTTACCTTTAGGGTTCATTCCCAAGATTCTTTTGAGAGTTCTTGAATCTTTATGGGAGTACTATGCAGAATAACCCATGTGCCCAGTTAGCACTGGGTAAGTAAAGGGTTCTGTCTACAGGCTAGGGTTCATTAGTTAGATTTTGGATTTCTGTCAGGCCTTTTTTTCCTAAAGGCTCTCAGCGCACTTACAGATATCTCATTTACCCACCCGAAAGTCGTGGTATTATTAATCCCTACTTACAAAGGAAAATAGGAACACTAAGATTTTAGACCTTGATTTCTAGTTGCCCAGGTGGTCAGACCACGGCAGAGTTTGGGGTAGAAAGAACTCAAGGCTTCTGACTCTACTCCAGCTATCCCTGCTCACTGTGTAGGGAATGTGTTGTTACTCCACTTTTCCACTATCGATTTGCCTGCTCTGGTCTGGAATTGTGGGGCATTGGAGTTTGTGCTCATGTCAAAGAGCATGGTGGATTGGAGCCTGTTCAGTGGCCAGTGAAAGTTGTGGGTAAGACGGGCAGGTAGGTGGCGCAGTGGATAGGGCACCAGCCCTCAAGTCTGGAGGACCTGAGTTCAAATCCAGCCTCAGACCAAACACTTGACATTTATTAGCTGTGTGACCCTGGGCAAGTCACTTAACCCCAATTGCCTTAAAAAAAAAAAGTTGTGGGTAAGAGCTGGTGGGAAGGAAGAGAGGCCAGGGTCTTCTAAACCAACAGAAACTGGCTGTCTATAGCTTATTACCTGGCCTTCAGCCTCTTGAATGACCATTTGTGTTGGGATATTAAGTAAAGTTAGAAAGTCATTTTACTCATCTGATATTATTTAAGAAATATGTGAAACATAACCAGAGTTTTTCTTAATGTCTCTGTTATTAACATACTGTTATACCAAATAGGGTGAAGAGATCCTGTCACAGCAATCCCAGGAAAGCTCAATGGATGAGAACCAGGAAGAGGTGCCCTCTCAACTCTCCAAGCAGGAAACAGAGGAGGTATTTCTGTTGCCTTAGTGGTTGGATTTTGATAGCCAAACATATTTAGCACACTTTACAGTTCGGTACCCAAATTCTTACCCTCTCCTGTCCCTCCCTCTTTCTCTCTCTCTCTCTCTCATGCACACATGCACACATACATGCACATGTGTATACTTATGGCTGGCCAAATAGACCTTGTTCTCAGAGAGCTTTGGGAGGCAGAGAAAGGACTAAAAGTTGTCTGGCCTATTAATTCGGTGACATTGGGGATAGTTGTTTTCTCTCTGTGCGTCTCATTGGTTTACCTGTAGTTATTCCTAAATATCCTACATTTAGGCCTCAGTGCCAGTTGAGTTTCCCTTGTAATGTGCTGTTTGGCTCATATCTGAAAACTCTTCCTGCAGGATGGGATCTTGCTTATTTTTTTTCCTGCAGAACATGCATTTGGGAGGAAAGTCTTGAGTTAAATCAATTCTTCTACTTATGCATTCAGGAAAAATGTATACTTGCCCCAATTTGGTAATGTGCTTACTTAAGATACCAATATCTTTCCAAAGTCTCATAAAGAAGGAACTATTCTCAAAGGCCGTCAATTATAGTGCTTCTGAGTTGCCTTGGGGCACCTGTGATGGGTAGAAAACGTGAGTCTGTCCGAACACATACATACACTTAGTGCTCACATACATGAGCCTAGTACTCACTGGTAGAGGTGAGCTGGAACATTTGCCCAATGCTGGCCCACAAATGTGTCAAGAAAAAGTGAAGGGCCTATTTTGAAAAGTTAACCTACCAGGAGTGCACTAGTACCTCCACATAATGCTCTCTTTTTCCATGTCCTGCACTGTCAATACGCAGTGAAACTGAGCACAAGGTCCTTCTGGTACTTCCTATAACTAACACTTGGGTAGTCACAGCCCACTGATGTCACCAAATTCTGCATGGTAGTAGTTATTAAGTTAGGGCTCAGGCTAGTTGGAAAGCCTTAATTCTTTGTGGCTGTTTAAACTTCATCTACTTTGTGCTGTTGCCTGGGGTTCTAAAAAGTCAAGAAATTGAGAATGCTGATTTGTCTATCGAATGTTTGAAAATGATGACTAGTAAATAATATGTGTACTTCCACTATGAGTGGCGAGTCTGTACCTGGCCATGGAGATCCAGCCATCCTCCCCTCCAAAGGTGATACTACAACATTCATACAGAGTGCTTAGGGTCCACAATGCCTACAATATTCAGCTTGTCAATTTGATTCATTCTTTGCTTCAGGGAAGTGGAGATGAAGCAAGTGTTGGTGGACACGAAGAAGACGGTAACGATAGTGATGACTGATTGGAAGGAAAAGAGGCTGCCCTCTCCTCCCAAGCGCCCTTCCCACCCCGCATCTTCACTCATGCTTCCTGGCCTCCTGCCAGCATCCAGTCTCCTTAGAAGCATCTTATTCCATATGGGAAGATGAGGAATCTTTATGGCATCATCCCAGCCATGATTTTTAGACTATCTGCCAGCATCAAGCCTGCTGTTATGGGAAGTGACATTCTTTAATGACATACGTGATTCATTTCCCTTTTGGCTTGTGAGAAGATCGCTGCTGTGCACTCAGTGTGAAGACTGTCTATATTTAATATGATTTCGGGTCTTAGAAGCTAGACTGGAAAGCAAGCACTTTAGTTGGTCCTGAGCATTGAGCTTATTCCGCCTATCTTTTGGATAAATTCCTTTCCCCTACTTGGGCTTTTCACAATACCTTAATTATTTGGGGTAGTAGATGGAATATTGTGATCTTTGCGGAGGAATGCACAAGATTGATACTAAGAAATAAAGTTGGGCGGCAGTGTCTGTCTTGTCAGGCTTCCTGCTGAGGATCCCACATTCCACCCCTCTTCGGATGCTCCGTCTCAGGGAAGACGGACCTGCCTGCTGTTTAGGGTGGCCCAGCAGTGACAGTGAGCTCAGGAGGGGTCTTTCATCATCCTCATCCCTTATATGGCAGGGGTAGAAGAAGCAGGGCAGAAATTGGGTTTGTTTGCACGTAAGGTTTATTCTCAATTCCCATTATGTTGGGTGAGTTTAAACTTATAACACTTACAGACTCCTCTAAAAATAATTTGCAGTTTGTTACCACAGCAAATGAGGAATGTGAATTGTGAATTTCAGCTAGAAACAGGAAATCTGATGTCTTCCTTCTGAGAGCCTGGACCCTGTTTTGCCTGCAGCCCTGGCTGAGATGACCCCGCCCCCTCCCTGCCTTTTCTCTCCTCCCTGTCTGTCATGCTGCAGTGTAAATGTATTTAATCTGGTGTGTTCTACCCATTTGGATTCTCTCCCTTCTCCCTTCAGACTAACAGAGTGTTGGATTTGATGCCACTGGCTTCTGTTCACATAGCAGACCATGCACCATATACTCCTCCCACTGTTTAAAAACTACAAGCATTTATTGCCTTAAATTTAAAAGAATGACAAGCCAGCCCCCGTGTTCTTTGGTATATACTGTTTGTTTAATGCTCTTCATTATCACGCATACATGTACTAGTTTGACTCATTTTTAAAGTGGTTTAATTTTACAAGTGAAAGACGTTCTCTCTTGCTCTGTGTCACCGGCCCTTTTTGGTGGGGGGGACTCCTGCATCGTCTTGTCTTGACAGAAGAGGTAAGACAGCTCCAATGATGTTGCAGTTTCCTTTATGTGAGTTTCTGTAAACTCCAGACACTTACCAAAGGACATGGTATGAGTGTGACTGCAAACCAGGGAGGAATTTTACTTGGAGTGTTGTAAGGCAAAAGTGCACTTTTTGTAAGTTGCATACAGTAACAGGATAGACCGTAACATCTGCTTACACATAGTCACTGTCATTTGGATTTGGGGCTCCTTTAGTCCAGTGGGCCACTGATGCTCCCGACTGATGATTTTGCAAAATGCTGATTTGTCTGAAACTCGAAATGTCCCTGTCCACTTTGGGGGCTGAGCCGTGATGACCCTACCAAAGACAGAGTCCACTCCACTGAGGCGGACAGGCTGAGGCTTCCTGACGAGACTTTTCTTACTGTTCATCGTTCGGAGCTCTGATGTGTGACAGGGCAATTTGGGGCTCACCCCAGGTTCTAGAAAGGGGTTGTCTAGGACGAGGGTGACCTCTTGGAAGCAAAGCTGCACTTCCAGGTCTGAAGGAGTGTGTGGGAAGCAATGAGAGGCCCTAAAGGGGTGCTTGGAAGAAGGGGTAGGTGTTGTATGTCGCAGCCACTGGAAACTCTCATCCAGTGGAGTCCATGGTGACCAAAGCTGATATCCTGCCATTGTTACACCTAGAGGAGAGCAATTAACATATGGAACCTCTCTTCATTAAGAGTCAAAAGCTGATTTCAGCTGGTTTTGCCCATTAAAAATCACATTTTTCCTCCACAAATAGCCAATGTCATTCTAGTTCCCTTAAAAACGTTCTAAGGTATTAAAAGATAAATAAGCCATTAAAATGACTAGATCAGGCTCTGGAAAAAGAAAGATCTCCAAATACCAACCACTTTTAAATAAAAGCCAGCTTCTGGTTCTGTGTGGGACATTTACTAGTCTGTAGAATACTTGTTATATTCATGGCCAGACCTTTTATTTAGTATTTGACAATATCACTCTTCCTCCTCCCCTTTAACTCCAGTGAACCCAATTTTGCTTATTTGTTCAGGATTACGCTTGGATTTTCCACTTCCACATTTCTAAGTGCCTAGGTGATGAAGATTCCTCTCATTTTCTCAGACAAATGTGCCTTTCTCTGACCCATCTTTCTTCACCAACAAAAGGAAAAGGACTAGATTTTCAATCTTGGAAGAGGTTCACACCACCTTAGTTTATAACAGTGAAATTGATGTTCAAATTTACTTGTCGCTGAGAATTGGTTTGGGAGATTTTGTTGTTTTTACTTTTTGGAAGTGTGGAGAGAAAGGGCTAAAGCAATTCCCAGATCAATTTACAATGTTTCCCCCAGAATTCTTATAAGCAGGGCCTAGTAGAGTGCTTTGCACATGCAATGTGTTCAAATGGTGACTGAGAATCAGTTGCAGAAATCTCATTATTTAGTGGAGATAAATCTTGAGCTAATCTCCCTAAAAAACTCCAAGAAGTAAAGAAATAATTACACATTCTAAACACCTCACCCAAATATTCTTTTTTGTGTGTGTGTGGGTAACATTAAAATTGACTGCATTACTTTCCGTGCAATTTTAGGAATATATTAACTGGAAAGAACAAAATGATCTCCCCTTCTTTCCCTGCCCTCAGCTTCATTTAACTTTGCTGATTGGGAGGCACCAAGACAAATTTTAATTGCAGGATCAGTTGCCTGAGAAACGTATGAATTGGAGCTTTATACTTATAGCCTCAGGGGATCTATGAGACCATGTACCCCAACTCCACTCGTTTTTTACAAATGAGGAAACAGGCCCGGGGAATGAAAGTGACTGCTCAAAGTCAACACTTAGCGGAGCAGGATTATAACCCAGATCTGCTTTTACTACAATGATCTTTCCACGGAACAATAAATGAGGCTGAATATGATCTTTTCGAGGCATCAATCTTACAACCTGAGACTTAAGTCTTCAGCCAGTCTACAGAGCTCTCCCCAAATTTCTTAACTATATAGGTTCGGATGACCAAGAAGAGAGGAATAAGGAGTCTCCCGGGACGTTCAGTAGAGCCCTAGGCATAGTACCTCAACTTCTCCACCTGGAAAATAAGGATGTAGAACCGCAGCTGAGCTGTGTGTCACCTCGGAGGACGACGGTGGTATTTCGAGTGCCTGGAGCTCCCCGGGTGGGTGTAGAGATAGATCCGCCTCCTAGCGGGACAGAAAGGAATTGTCTCTGGCTTAGCCCGGGGGTGGTGGAGGAAAGGGGCCCTCGCCCGGGGTGGGGACAAGAAGGTGAGACTGGCCAGAGCGGGTGCTGGGCGGGATGGGGAGCTCACCTGCTGGGCTCCGAGGGTCGCACGCTCCCAAGTGGCGGCCGCTGTTCCCGGGGCCGCATCTTTCCTCTGCCGGGCGCCTGGCAACGGCCTTTGTGACCCAGGCCCCGCGGGAAGAGCCCGCGGCCGGGAGGGGGCAGGGGGCGTGGGAGGCCGGGAGGCTTCCGCGAGGAGGGCTACTCCGGAGGGCTTTCTCCTTCGCTGGCCCCTAGATCTCGACCCTTTCGGAACGCCTAGGTCTCTGTATTGAACTTGACTTTCTCCTGGGCCATTCATTCTCCCTGCCCGAGGCGGGATTATTAAGAACACATTTTCTCCTCTTTACAAGCTCGCTGACACGTCGGATCCTGCCTTTTTTTTTTTTTTTTTCCCCCCCTATTCGGGGCTTCATCCAGCTTCTCGAATCACTTGTAGCTTGAATGGAGCCAGAGCGACAGGGTACAGCATGTGCATAGGCATCAGGGCTGCAAGGGGCCTTGAGAGATCATTAATCCTACTCTCTTATCTTCTGAGACCCAGAGAAGGGAAGTCACTTGTTCAAGGTCACACAGTAAGTAGGAGGCATTGCTTCTGAAGGGGCAGAGGACACGGGTTCAGATCCTGCTTCAGACACTCCTCCTGTGACCCTGCTCAAGTCACTTACACTCCTTCAGCCCAAGTGTCTTCATCTGTTAAAAAGAAAAAAGAGAAAGAACTTAAGGGGTTGGATTAGGATGACCTCCCAGGTCCCTTCTAGATCTGGGATCCTACTGAGTAAGGAAGGAATCCGAAGGTTAAAGGGAATACCAGTTAGAGTACCAGGCTATAGCAATGACAGTGAGTTGCGGTGAGAAGCAATAGGGTTAGTGTGGTGCTGAAGGCAGGGGATAGATAGGTGTGGTTATAATAATTATAATCCACATTAGCATGGGCTTTCCCTGTGATGTTTCAGTAAAGCTCTTGGAATCAAAAGACCTGATCCTTTGAAAGTCAAAGTCTCAAAGTCATTGTCCTCTGAAAACTAAGGACAAACAACAGTCATCCTAGAGAGTTATCCACAATACTGAAGTTAAGTGATTTGTTTGCCCAGTGTCCCACAGGCAATAAGTCAGAACAGAATTGGAACTCAGGTCTTCCTGGTTCTGAGGCCAGCTTTCTATCACTACTAGATAATGCAAGTATTATCCTATTTTGCAGATGAAGGGGGAAAAGCTCAGAGAGTTGATGTGCCCAGCCCGTGTTCACCCAACTAGTAAGTAGGATTTGAACATAGGTCCTCTGTTCCCAGGTCCAGTGTGTTTTCCAGGATTGCCTGAAGTTTGGAAATGTGGGGATTGTCCCAAAAGACCTATAAACTATTTCAAAGTTGAAGAGAGAGAGGAGCAAAGGTGGGTATTTAGTTGATGTTCGTGAATTATTACCAAAATAAAGACTTTGTCCAGCAAAGTGGTAGGTGGTTTCACCTTAATGAAAAGAAGAAAATTACCTCCTTATTATAAAAAAAAAAAAATCAGTCTTTGCAGGACAATTGTGTATTAATTAAAGTACTTGAAGTAAGAGTGTAAGCATTCTATTAATAGGTTCACAGATTTAGAACCAGAAGGAACTTTAGAAGTCATGTAGTGCAACCCCCTCATTTTTACAAAAGAGGAAACTGAGACCTGGAAATGAGAAGCGTCTTGCCAAAGGTCAGGCAGGTAGTAAGTAGCAGAGCCAGGATCTGAACCCACTCTGGAGCTAACTCTCTTTCCCCCTATACTACGCTCCCTCTTAATTCGGGAATTTTTATTAAGCACCTACTATGTGCTAGGCACTGGGCATGGAAAAGTGAAATCTCTCCCTGATGGAGTTTAAAGTCTCTGAAGCCATATTAGTCACTTGGATGACGTGGTGGTATATATGATATGTGTTCCCTCCTATCAGGCATCAAGTGATGATGATGATGATAGCCAACATTTATATAGTCAAGTTGGCAAAGAGCTTTACAAATATTATCTCATCTTATCTTCATAATAATCTTATCAAATATAGGTACTCGCATTTTACAGATGAGAAAACTGAAGTAGAAGTTAAGTGACTTGCCTAGGGTCACACAGCTAATAACTTGGATGAGGCTGGATTTTAACTCATATCTTCCTAGCTTCAAGTCAAATGTTCAATCTGCTAGAGCCACTGCCACTGAACCAGTATGAACCATCAATGTGGTGTAGTGGAAAGAGTGTTGGATTTGAAGCTAAGAAACTGGAAGCTCAATCCCCAATTCTGACACCAGCTCTCAGAACTTTAGGTCTCTCATGTCTAAAATGAGAGTATAACCTGTGGCTCACAGGACCCCTTCACTTAAGGTCCTCCTATTCTGGACTTATTTGGAGTCCAGATTCATTCTGGGGGATGGCCTGATCCCAAAGAGAGGGGGATAGGGCTTCTCATCCTCTTTGGCTTGTAATGCCCCCACCCAAAGTTGTGACAAAATCTAATTCATTTCACAAGCATTTATTAAGTACTTACTGCCAGATCATCACGCCAAACACTGGGGATGTGAATAAAAAGCAAAAACAGGCCCTGCCCTCAAGGAGCTTATATTCTAATGGGGAGACAAGAAGTGTATAAAGGAGTACACACGTGATACATACAGACTAGAGGGAAGAGAGGAAGGCACTAATCGTGAGGGAGGGGAAAAGGTGGTCCAGAAGAAGTGGCATTTGATCTGAGTCTTGAAGGAAGCCAAGGATCCTCAGAAGTGAAGGGGGGTGAGGGATGGCATTCTAGGGACGGGGAACAGCACAGAAATGGGAACTGGAGGGTCAAGCAGGCTGTGTATGACTGGACCAAAGACTGTGCAGAGGAGAGTAAAGTATAAGACTAGAAAGATCAGAAGGGATCAGGTTGTTGAAGTGCTTTAAAAGCCAAACAAAGGAATTTATATTTGATCCTAGAGATAATAAGGAACAATCACTGGAGGCTGAGTCCTGGGGGAGGGGGTGATATTGCCAGATTCACACTTTAGGGAAAAATGCATTGGTGTTGTATGGAGGATAGATTGATTTTAATGAGAAAATTGAGGCTAGGTGGCTATCCCAATAGTCCAGGTGAGGGGTGATGAAGGCCTGAACTAGAGTGGTGGCCGTATGAGTGGAGAAAAGGGAAGTATGAGGAGAAAGCTGGTGTACACAGATACATGATGAATTCAGCCTGAAGCCATATGAGAAATGGATGGTTGGCATGGATGAGAAAAAGTTAGGTGTAACTTTTCCTAGGTTAGAAGTTAGTAGGTGGTGAGGAAAGAACATGATCCTTCTACCTGGTAGCCAGCAGCACATGCTAAGGCCAGATAGTTCTTTGGGGCTAAAGGTGTGTCCCGCCATGTCGGCAATGGAAGCTCCCAACCTTCTCTTTGAAGGGTCATCTCTTTGGTATCTTGGCCTTGAAGGTTCTTTCTGGTTGTGGTGCCTGAGTATCGCCATCTTGTTTTTATGAATGACTTGTATAATGGGATCTGGACTGCTAA